GAGTTATCTTGAACGCCAGAAAATCTACTCCAAGAAGTGAACTCTTGAAAAGACTTGATTGGCTGAACATCAAACAAAAATTAGAGTTAAACATTTTGGTGATTATTAAGAAAATGATCAATGGTGAGGTGCCAGATTATTTGTCTAATGAAATTCAGTATGTAAAAGGTATCCATGAACATAATACCAGAAAAAATGTAAATCTATACATCCCTGCAGTTAAGAGCAAAATCAGCGAAAAATCCATCACGCGGAGCGGTTTTCAACTGTACAATGATTTACCTGATGAGCTAAAAAATATTCATGAAACTTGTTCCTTTAAGAAAAAATGCAAAATACATCTTGCTAAAAATAATTGACAACAGATAGAAAAAAAAAAAAAATAATGTGCAATATTAGTGATGAATAATAATGTATGTTTTTATAGTTATTCTTACACGTGATTTGAATTTTCTATAAAATGTATGTAATTGTATTAGTTTTCGAACTAAATAAACTCTCATTAAACCAAAACTAAATGCCTTTTACATGGAATGACGTTTCGAGACACAAGATACTGAGAAAACCAGTGTAAAAAGTTAGAAAATTCATTTTGCGATAAGAAAAAATATTAAGGGCGAAAATTTCACAAAATTTGTACTTTTTAAAACCACCCCAATACGTTTTGTGTTTGAAAGCTGTTTCGGCTATTGAGGCCTCGCATCAGCAGCACTTTTCCATAGGGAGCTGTGAGATGAGATGTTACTTTGCTCGGCGCACAGACACGACTGCTTAGCAACCTGCAGAGGGCGAAAAAGAGCGATCTCGCGACCTTCGGCAGCAAACCTCCCCCTTGTCCGTCTCTTTCTTCATGATTTTTTTGAGCAACAAAATGTAAAAAAAATATTTTGTTTTAATGGAAATCAAGGCAAATAAATTAGAGAATGGAACGATAAGTTTCATCCCAGGTACATCATTTTAAGACTAACAGTAAAATCAACATCAGTAAACGCGTGAATATTGAAACATTCAAATGTTAAAATGCTTTGTTTGGTAAATTACGGTCTACCCGTCAATCATCTCAAACGTGGCTCGCCCCGTTACAAAAAGGTGGTCTCGACTCCGCCAATCGTTGCACGTTTCGTTACGGTTGGTGCCCGCTCGCGTGGCACGAAAGGGTTGGAATAATGAATAAATTTCATGCTGCAAAAAGTTGGCTTCTTGAAAGTCAGTTCAAAGTCGCCGCATTTTTTTGTCGCGGCGGCCTCAAAAGAGGAGTCCGTGTTTAATTTTGAGTGAGTTTTATATGTGTAAGTTTCTCCCCGTTAAATTAAAAAAAAAATCAATGGTCACTTTTTTGTTACTGCAAATGGTAACAAATAATAGAAAAAGAAATAACAAAATTGAAAATTAGTTGATATAAATTTAAATTTTACAAGTTTGTTTGTAGAGACACTCAAGGAGCATGAAAGCGAAGAAAACGGGATTGTCCTCGTTAAATTTTTTTTGAGAAATCTCTGCCGACGCCGGCGAACAATAAGGATAAATAACACACTTACAATTAAATATTGATATCAACTATTATATAGTAGCGAAATTTGAGAATTTTTGGGCCTCTGTGCGCCCCTGTAATGTAAGCAATGCCTTGAAACTTCTGTATTGCGAACCCCTTTTTGTGGGCCCCCGGATTGTCCGCCCTGTCCAAATTTTAGTTCGGCGCCATTGGCAAGCGTCCAAGCAATCTTTTCATTCAGAGCAGTAGCGAGCAACCCTGATCCTATGTCAGGCACCATAGTTAATGACAAAGCCTAGACAAGTAGCATTTTCTTTTATGTAAGTGCGTGGATGCACTCGATGCAAAACAAAAGAAATCGCCAGAACGAATAATACTATGTAAGTCTTATTGAGTTTGTTAATAACATTTTATGACGGCAGATTGACGGAGGGGCTGCAGTGATAATTATGCTCTCTAAATTTTGGTAAAACTGCAGAGAGGACGCCGAAGTTTAGTTTGTTCCGTCTCTCTCTTCTTTTAGGGTACATTTCTTCTTATATTATCGACAATAGCTAAAATGAGTTTAAAAAAAATGAATTTTTTTATAATGTGTTTTTGTACAAAAACAAAATTAATTAGAAAAAGAGTTTAGCCATTATTTTTTATTTTTTTATTTTGGTCTGAAACAATGAAAACTACGAGAATTTTCAATCAAATCCGTTAGTCGAGCTCAGCATAATATGCGCGCGCTTATTGTTAGCAAAACCACCATTTTTATAGTTTGCGGCCGCAAAACAATTATGCATCACCTGCGCTCCATTATAGCGGCAGCGTTCGGGGGTTGGATGATGAATCGCTTTCAAGCACGAGTCGTGCAAAATACTGACTCCCACTCCTCTATTATATTATTATTTTTATAACATGGCAGCTGTTTGCCGCTTCACAGGTATACTTTTTTATATACATTTCGACTTACTAATAACGCACAGTAAATTCCAATTAATTTTCCACTGCCAAATATTTTTATTATTAGAAAAAGAGAAAGTTATACAACAGCTGAAAACTTCCGCCATAAAAACTTACACTCAGAAAAATTTCTACTTTTTTTCAGTTGAAAGTAACTCGTTTCAAGAGTTAAATTTGCCTCAGTTCAAGATGTTTGTTCTTTTTACCGAGCAGCAGTAAGTTGGAAATTGTTGGACTATTACTCGTTGAATTTTACCTAGCAGCGCGGCTAGAATAACACAGCGCCAAAAAACAAACCAGTCAGAGAAACTAAGCTCTTGATTTCGGCTAGGTTCATTTTACCGAGCGCGTTCAGCTAGAATTGCAGCAGGTCAGCAGAGCCTCTCGGTTGATCTTACTTTGATTTACAGCTGTTTTTGCTGCTTATTTTCAGTTTGATACTACTCTTTGCATTCAGGTAGAAATAACCTGGTTTTTATCTGTTCCATTTGATACTTCCCATTTAGTTTATCTGCACATCAAAAGTACTTACACTCTTTGTAACAGAAACATAATTTTTGTTACAAAAAGTGAGTGCTTTTGATAGCAGACAAAATAAAATGCAAGTATACAGTGGAACAGAAAAATAGAGTTATGCGTCTGAACTATAAACTTATAAGGAAAATAGGAATAAAATTGAAGTGTATAAATTCAAGTTTTAAATAACAGTTTTTTTATTGTCATAATTACTAATTGTAGGTCGCAACAGAACAAATTTATGAGGACAGTGTGGTGAAAATTGTACTTACAAAATCAGTAATTTGGATTGTATAATGAAGCACTTACGATTATATGGATTTCAAGCCGAAGATCAAGTATCCAATTGGCACGGCAAACATAGCTGATGAACTTAGTACAAACTGCAGCAAACAGGCACTTAAAATGTTCAAAACAGAAAAATCTTCTGCGGGGAGCCAAGCTGAATTTGTTGTGCGGAATCTTCCTACAGCAAAATTTTCACAGAGCAGGCGTGCAGACGTTGCATCTCCTTTAACACAGAAATGAATATGTTTTTATTAATATTTAGACAACAATTGGAATTTTATATTCTAACTTACATTGGTCAGTGATTTTCGTAACCCAGGGTGCGCAGATTTACTTCATGATTGATGGAATTCCTTTTCCACCACGGCATAGACCAAGACATTATATATCTCTGAAAACAATTTGCAAAGATTTAATCACAATTATATCGCTCGTTCCAGGCTGAAGCTGCTATATTTCCAAATATAAGCTTAAAAAATGTACTTACAATTTGGTTTTGGCACTGCTGGTTCCAGTTGTATTCCATAATTTGCAGAAAACTTGCAATTTTAGAGAGCGCCAGGCACTGCTAGATGTAGAGTCTTCCATGAGTACGCTTGTAATGACGCTTTCCAGTAAGCATTTTACAACATGGCGTCAAAATTTGCTTTTTTACACAGTTTTATTAACTCAAATTCGGTGAAATTTACCGAGCGCCTCAGCTAAAAAGACATAGAGACGCGCATAGCTGGAGCACTTTTACCGCGCTGAGCAGTTAGAATGACCAACTGCTTTTCTAAAAGTGTTGCTCGCGCTGGAAATAAAATCGAGTAGTCCTTGCAGAAAGAAGTTCATGAGTTTAAAATTAATTCAAGATGCAATGATGGCCGGTAAAATTTTATAATAATTTTTTTTTAAATCATTACAAGAAAATGTTTCTCTGCTATATTAAGAGCATTAGAATGCATAAATATAAGTTTATATGTACTAAATAGATTTTTTTCATGTTGATTTATATTGAAAATCCTAAATTAAGTGCATAAAAGTTAGTCGGAAAAAACTAGTGATGAAGTATAGTGTAGATAAAAAAAATTACAATTTTTTAGAAACATTTTCATGAGCCTGCATTGATTCTGTTAACTGATATTAATAAATTTACAAAAAATAAGATAAATTTTCACTTCTCTTGGAGATTCAAAATCGGCCATTCGCGCCAAACTTCGAGGTTTATTTTACTGATTTGACGAGGTTAAGTGCCAAGCAGGCTTTTTTCAGTTAATTTAAACTCGCTTCTTTTATGTTGCTTTTACCTGCTTGAAAGAGCTAGGTTTCGTTTTACTTAGCAATGCGCGGTAAAAAGTACTACATAACAACGCAAACAGTTCGGCAGGGTAGCTCCGCGTTTCATGTAACATACTCGTGCTCGGTAAAATTTATCCTTTTGGTCAACCAAGAATATTCTAGCTGGAGCGCGCGCGGTAATTTTTACTGCTGCCGCTCAACTAGCACACATGTAACAGTGGAAATGAGTAGATGTTACCGAGTGAGGGAGCTGGATTTTCCAACTGATGTGTGATTTGAGCCACTCGGTAAAAGTAACATTGTGCGTGGTTGTTTTGAATTAAAAAAATCAGTAGATATGAATGAATTACAGTTAAAGGTGCTCTAACTGAGTGAATTCTGTATTTATTTTTCTGAGTGTATATATTAGATTTATATTTAGATTATCCAAATAATTTTAAATTGATAGATTGTGAGAAAAAAAAGGCTGTGAAAATCTCATCTGTGAATTTTTATTTTCATGTATGGCATAAAAATTAAATTTATTCAAAAGTAAGTCAAAGTAAAAGTTGCTTAAATTCATTTTGAGCTGAGCCTGTTAATAGCAATACGTTGGCAACTCGCAGATGAAGTATCTTGGCTGGTGACAAATGCCTGCGTATAATTTATTAACGTCATTTCCAGTCCAAAGATCGACACAGTTGCCTTTTTTCTTGGTGTCCATCATCCACAAGTCGCTATTTTCGTCCAAATAAGTTCCGTCGTGCCAACGGAAGTCAAAATTCCCATCTCCTGCAAAGTTATATCCTGACACCCACCACTGAAGACGTTTGCCTAAAATATAATTAAAGTAGCAATTTATTATTGTTTAAATTCAAAGCTCCAATACCATATGTTTCCCTTATTTTGTCGTAAACCGCGTCCAAGTCGTTTTGGTTTCTCAAGGTGGCCAAGTGAAGTCCCATGACGTCACAACTTTTATTAGCCACACTCCAAGTAACCTGTTAATTTAAAAAAAAGTTCAATTGATTGTCACAGAAACATAATCATTTGCATACTTTGACGGGAAATGAAAATATGTACTTTTTGCCGTTGGACAGAACATTGAAAATTGAAGATCCTGTAATTTGCCAAAAAATTAACATTATTTAAATAAATTCTAAATAAAATATTTCAAAACTCACGGGCAATATCGCACTTTTTATGTTGGAACTGAAAACGTGAATGATGGAAATTAATCCAATCATCTTTATTTAAAAAAATTCGCGAACCTCATTTTTAAAATCGTCCAGCTTTTTAATCGCCGCACTTAAACCTTTTCGCAGCAGGTTGCTTCCTTCAATCACCTACGGTAATTTTTATATTTTAATTTAATTGGCAAGTATTTAAATTAGAATAGAATTTTTTTAAGAACACCTCAGGGAGCATTTCCTCGTAAGGTTCTTTCGATTTTTTGTAATTCGTGGTTGAATCCAAAATTTGCTGCAGCAGCAACTCAAACTCGTCCGACGCATGTTCATTTTCAGAAACGGCTCTGACCGACTCTCTCAACAGCAACATTTGAAACTGGGTCCTTTTGGCCTCGTCGACCTGTTTTTATTTTAATCTTTATTAGATATTCACAGATTATATATAAGGGATTATTTTACCAACTCTTTTATGACAACGGTCAGCGCAGTCAGCTGCTTTAGAATATCCCAGTCCATGACCAATTCGCGTTTCTACTTCAAGGAAATTCAATATAAAAGCTTCTTTCTTAAATTTGCATTGAAATTAGATATGCAAGTTAATAAAATGTTATTAAATTTATTACAAAAGCCATACATTTAAACGCTATTTGAGCGATAAATTTGTGATCAAATTAATCTATGCAATTTTATTATTATTTGAAATATTTAATTTAATTTCTTATAGAAAAAATAGCAGCACGAACAGGACGAAAAATAATTTTCAATCAATTAATTTCTTTATAAATAAATATTTGCATTTCAATTGAGTACAAAAATAACGAATTAAAACTCAAAACACCGTGAATTAACCCTCAAGTGTGTCAGCTTTATAAAAGATAGAAAATAAATTTTTTTAAATAATCAGAAGCTCCAAAATCTATTAGAAAAATAAATATAATTAATTTTACTAAAATTGCTGAATTAAATATCTGAAAGTTGCTTATTAACAAACTTTGACTTATTGTTAGTTGCGTCTGTTAATGAATTTATCATGCTGAAGATTTTGGACAATAAGAAATGAGCCGCAGCAGTCACTGCACGCATGAAGCACTTCAGAGCTTCTCACCTCAAATTTCACGGGATCCGCGGCGGCTTGAACCGCGACGAGAAAGAGCAGCAAGAATCCGCGCGTCATCACCTAGCAACGTTAGCAAATTCATTTACCTTCACTTATTGAACAAGAGTTTTTTGTTAACATGTGAATACTAAATATTGAGACCCCCCACGCTGGTACTGACAATGAGGTGAGCAGAACATTTGTTTATAAGGATAAATACATAAGTAAATCAATGGACCAGAATGAATGTCTAATTCTTTTTCTCCAAATTTACAGAAAAATAAAATAAGTAAAAATTAAATCAACTGGTTACACTTTATTTAAAAAATGTAAAATATCCATTAGAAGCTGCATTTTAATTGAAAAATGAAATATAATAATTTTATATTTTGTCTCTTTTTAAATTTTGATTTGATTCGTCAGTTATTAATAATTTAATTTCACATTAACAGGTATTAATGAAAATTTTATTTATTTCTACTACAAACATTTTTACTTGATTAACATGAATTATAAAAAAATAATTTTCATTTCCAATCGGCATGAAATAGAACAGAATTTGTATGCTACAGGCGGACTTCATGAAACGGTAATTTACATTACATATCAGCGAAAATTATTTGAATCAATTTACAATGTTGTGGGCCCTATAGGAGCAAAATGAACAAGACTTAGTGTTGGAAAGGAACTTTATGTTTTTGAAAGGATTGTGAAAAGTTAATGTAATGAAAGAGGGCTGTATGAGGGTCGGTTTACTCCCCTAATTTAAAGCCACTTAAGTATAACGCTCAATTACACACTTACAGAGCTAAAAGCAACAAACCCCTTGGGCGGAGCTCTCTAGAGGGTGTGGTCGCGGTATAAAAGTTTCAAGTTTTCTTGAAAATTCCGTTGAAAAAAAATTAAGTAATATTAAATTTATATAATCCAATTATGATATGGCCAAGGTATAAAAATAAAAGAGTTCAATTCAGCTTCCTACCTCGTTGTTAAACTTATTCAATATTTATTTTCCACATGGAAACTGACATATAATTTATTCAACATAACTCTCCGGCAAATAAGAACAAACAATAAAACCTCATGCACACAAAATAACAAACCAAAATTAAAGCCAATAATTTAAAATATTATTAAACGAAATACGGCTGATTAAAATTATTCAACTTTCCAGATCGAAAAATTTTAAAAATTTACCAGAGCAAAGCAGGAGATAGGGAACATAGCCCAACAGCTCAAGGTACCAGGCCGGGAGACAATTTGACTCTAAGGCCCGCGCGGACCAGGGGTGCCTATTTTATTCCCGAGCAAACCCCTCGCCGTAACTGCGCGTACTTGCTTGCTCTTCCCCCTTGCTCTACTGGCACTGATTCAAATCCGCACTTGGCGTGTTACAATCTAATCGGCCAGTGTATATGCAGCAGTGCCAACCCAAAAAAAATACGACTTAAAAGTTTATAGCGTAATTATTTACGCTGCAACTAAATATGACTTATTAATTACAACTATAATTATTTCATGTCCTCGAGCACCCTCTCGGTCCCTCACACCAATCTTCATTGATGAAGTGCACTTAAAAATGAAATTTATATACAAATTTTAAAGGGGAAATGACATTTTATGGTAAAATTTTAGGATCGTGGATTGATTCATATTTATGGTGCTTTCAATTTATTTATTTTTGAATACAAAAAACTCACAAGACCCATCGAGTTGAAGCTGATTTTAAATTCAAATCACCAGGAAAATGAAAACTATTCAATTACATAATTTCTCCTTCGGATTTTTTATAAATTTATATTTTCCAAAAGGAACGAAATTTTATGGCTAATTCAGATAAACTACAAGACACAATCATCATTAATTAATTTTATTTTTGTACTTCTTGCGAAACTTATAAAACTGCTTAGATTAGATCCTCCTAATCGTCCTCTTTTTTGACAAATATGGACGAAATCTCCTCCAGAAGTTCAGGGTCCGCGTCGTTGCTTAAAAGAAAATCGCAAATTTTCTTCCCGATCGCATTTTTGTCTTTCAGCTTTTTGTGCAAATCAGATTCGGAACTTTCACCATATACATTTTTATTTTGCTCCACGTTTTGAGTTTTGCTGCACGAAGTGATGTCGAATCGACAAACGTCCAAGTGTCTGGCGAGTAAAGTGCTGCAGGCCTGCTCAAATCCACACCTAGGACAATTTACAGAACGAGAATGGTTTTCGAGGGCGTGCTCTGAATCTTGCTCGGTGGCGCAAAAGTTACACTTTGGTCTGTAACAAAAGACAAAAAAATTTATAATTTCAAAAATTAAAATATCGTTCATTTAATAATATTTTTTTTTTTAATTGATATTATTAAGCACTTTGTTTTTGTTTAAAATTTGTATTAATTAATTGGTTAAAATTGATAAAATTTATCAAATTAATTGACCAGTTTGAAGAATTTTGCATTTAAAAACTCTTTTGAATCATTTGTTTTAAAAAGATTAAAAATAATTATAAAATACTTCAAAATTTTAAATTAATTAAAAAATAAGGGAAAATATGCGATAAAAAAATGGTGTTTTTAAATTTAAAAACATTACTTTAAATAAGTTAACGTTTTTGCGAAAAAAAATAAGGAATTTTAAATAAATCAGTAAATATTTTGCATCTACTTTGATTTTTCCAGAAATTTCCAGAAAATGAGCAAAATATATCCTTCTCTCTTATACCTTATAATTTCATTGCAGTTTTGCAAGTGGATGCTGAAGTCATTGTAGCAGTTGGTCCTGATGGAGCATTTGTCACAAATCCGCAGCTGCTTGTGTTTCTGCAGGTTCTGTTTGCTCGAGAGTGGCTTTTTGCACTTTTTGCAAACAAAAGCTGCATTTTCCGCCGAACAGACGGCCGCGTGCTCGTGGTACAAAGTGGCGCACGACAACTCCGCTCTGCAAATATTGCACTTTCGGTTTTGCTCGTAGTGCTCTTTGTAGGAAAGCAAAACGTCTTGGCAAAACATGCACCGGTTTTTGGCGGTTTTTTGGCACGTTTTCTTGTGCCGCAAAAACAGGCCGAAACACCTGAACTCGCACTCGCACTTGCCGCATCGACGGTTGCGCACGTGGCTGATCAAACGGGCGAAACTTTTTTTGCAGAACGAGCATCTCCGATGGCCTGTCGACGAAGAAGAAATGCCCTCCGAGCAGGTGGTGCTCAATTTCTGGTGCGTCGCCAATCTCGATTGGCACATGAAAGTCCGATTGCAAATCGAGCACTTGTTGTTTTTCAGATGATCCTCGAGCTTTGGGATTTCGCCCGGTTTGAATTTCTTGGTGCAAAAAGTGCAACGATCTGAAGACGGTTTTTCAATTTTCATTTTTTTGGGTGGTTCTATTTCTATTACTGAACTTCCCGACGAATCATCCAAAATATAAGACGCTTCTGAAATGTTGAAAAGAAATTAAAAATTTAATTTTAAGTAATAATTTAAAATCAGTTCACCTGAACTTTCGTCACTCGTGTCCATGTTTTGATTGTCTGCGTTGGCTGTACTTAAAAAGATACTAATTTCTTCCAGTCTGGTTCCAATTTCCCAAAAACTGCCAACAAAATCCAAATTTAACATTTAAGTTTAGATAGGTTTGTTGAAAAGCTAGAAATGGCCTAACAAAACACATGCATTATTTTCCCATTTTCAAATTATTTCAATAATAAGTTTCAAAATTTATTTCATGCTGAAAGTCCACATTTGACGTGAATTGCATGCTTGTTGCAAAAAATAACGGCCAAAGTCAGTCATCAGCTTCATTCTGTGTTTTTGCCAGAAATTTTCAGTGCAATAAACAATCTTTTTTTCATCAAAAATACCAATAAATTACTTTCATTTTCTTAATATCTACAATATATTTTGAAATATTTAGTTTTTTTATGAGAAAAGAAGGAATTTAAAAAGTAAAAATTGACTCCTTTTGCCTGAATTTTCTTTTTATCATTTAAAAAAAATCCAATTTAGATTTTTCTTACCTTTTTCCACTAACTTTTCCAAGATTTTCCCCCTCGAATAGTAATGTCTCGAGAGCGGTGCCACGCCGAGAACGTGCCTGGACTTCTCCCCGACACACACTGACGATATGACTTTGGGGGAAAATCTAAAATTTACGCGAGCAACCCCCGCGAAGCACTTTGTCTCTTTTGTCGTCCCAGCCGCTCGCTTTCATCTATTCAGAGATTCGTCTTTCTCTAGCTGGAGGCGCAAAAGTGGCTCCAAAATTTTTGCCAATCATGGGAAAAGTTCAGCATAAATTCGAGTTGATTTTGCCCATGGAAGAAAAACAACCCTTTACTAATATTTTTTGAAAAAGAAGAATTAGTTCCAATATTTCATTTGAATAGTATTTTAGTTTCTTGAAATAGATTTTTGTAAATGCAAAACCTGAGCTGTTTGCAGAAATCAACATCTTTCTTAAAGTAAATTTCTCTCCTATGCTGCTGTTGAATTTCAAAATTTATTTTTAAAAACACAGAAGAAAGTATGTGTAAAAATTATAACTCAACAATTTATTCTATTGACGGTCACTTCAATAAAATTATTTAACTAGTAATTGAAGATTATGCTATACGTAGAATATTTGAATTTATATTTTTTATTTTTCAAAACTTGTTAAAAATTTTCAATTTTATAAAAATTTATTCCATTTCTGTTTTAATTTTATCTTATCTCGCCCTGATAGAGCTGACTGGCTTTTTCACATATCAATTTGGGTGGTCCGCGTTCTCTCGATTTTATAATTATTTTAATTCTACAAACATATTTATAATTATTGTATAGGTAAAATGGTTCACCTCACCTTAAACATTAATTATTCAATATTTTCCAGAAAAATTGTTCATATATATAAAACCCATTAGAGCAAATATGTGAATATGTTTGTGATTTTAGTAATTTTTTCATATTAGTCAAATGACTAGAAAATTAGATGATTATTATTTTTTTTTTATTTTTTTTTTTGATGAAAGCAAAATTTTTGTGTGAAAAATGAATTCACTCTATTTAAAATAATCAAGAATATACACTCTGAAACTGCTCCGAAAGGCGTTTGCAAATCAGTTGCCGAATTGAAGGTAAAAGTTGGTCCCTGAATTTACATGAATTCTTTAATCAATAAAAGCGGCGCGCGCGTCTCGTCGTCGCGTGTCTGCCCTCAGTCTGCTCTGCTCAGCACATAAGCGGCGTCTCCCCTTTCTTTTGATTTCGTTTGCTGAGCTGTTGCTCCCGCTAGCAAGTTATTGCAACCGCATCGACCAGCTCAATCAGAGCAATTTTTTTTTTTTTTTTATTAATAAAGATGTATTTGAATGATAATAATTGAATTAAGAACTAGATTTATTAATAGCAATTGTGGGGAACGACACTGTGAATTATGTGCAAGTTAAGCATTTTGTGAGTCGTTTTTTTTTGTAACTTTAAATCGTTTCTGTAATTTTTAATATAGCTATTGGAATGCCTAATATAATCTCCTCTTGGGATATATGAGCCCCTGAGGGCTTGAGGCTACTTAATTTCCACGCAATGCGACACACAAGGGGTCAAAAGGGGGGCTTCACCCCAAATTTCGGGCCAATGGAAACCAAGAAGGAGAGGAACAAAACTCTCGAGCGCAGCGATCAAGGCGCTCTTCGGGCGCTCTTTGCTGAAAGTATTCTTTGTAATTCATTTTCCAAAATTGTAGCCATGGTGAAAATTATCCTTAAAGCCAAAATCTGAACAAAATTTTATTTTTCGAAATAAATTTAATTTTTATTGATCATTTTAATTGATTATTATGTAACTCTAGAATTTCAATTTTTTTTTTATAAGTTCCAGTAAACCACAGGTATGGCTAGGGCCCTGTTTCGATATTATTATTTTTAACAAGGTTTAAATTATTCATAAAACATTTTTCTTTCTAAATAACCAAAAATACGCAGCACAAAAGCTAGTTACGTAACATTCTAATTGCGCACTAAAATCTCTCTTTATTTTCATCTTAATTCATTCAAAATTTGAACCCCTCTATACTTACAATTTCATGTTAATTTAGCACCTTCCGCATCAACGAAATCAGGCAAATTAAACCTTTTTGAAGGACAAATCTCGTTTTATGACGTGGATGATGTTGTATAAATGATGATAAATAAAGTAATAAATCAAACGTTATAATTATGTATAAAAAAACCCAGAGTTGTCGTCCTTTTGCGTTCATATTAAAGGGCGCTGGCCGATAACCCCAAAAAATTTGTCTTGGCCTGACCCCCTTAAAGCGTGCTATGTTTTGATTAAAAATGCGTCGATTAGGACGAATCACTTCAAAAAAGAAGCGTTTTCTACAACATTTTTTATCCGTCTTATCTTTCGTTGAAAATGAATGAAAATTTAACATTTTATGAGGCACAAGATTACATAACTATTATTTATTGTATTCTCTGCATAAAGAAATATTTTGAAACTGAAAAAAAAATAGAAAGAGGAATAATTTATTGAAATTATTATTCATCTCGGCCTTGTATTTTCATGAGTTCAATTTGTTTGTTTATTCAAATCCTTAAATGCCAATAATTTCAGCTTAAAATTGTATCGCTCATTTTCAATCAAAATTCCACAGGTTTAATTTTTTTACTGCACTCCGCTGCATGGGAAATTGGAAAGTGAAGATGTAGTCGATAAAAAATAGCCTTCAAATTATTAAAAGGCTTGAAGCTTAAATAATTATAGGTTTATTCGTTTGGTTGTTACATAACAGTGAACTGATCATATAATAAGCGCTTGTTACGCAGGAGAAAACATTCTAGAATCCAAATTGGTGATTTTTTTTATAAATGGTAATTTTTCCTCTCTGACTAGAAAAAATTATGTTTTATTCATTTTATTGAGAAAAAAGAAAGTAATGAAATCAGTGTTTACTTTTTTTTTTGATAAAATAATTAACCTTGATTGCAGGAAAGAGTAAAAAAAAGAGGTTTTAACCTAAAATATTATCAAAATATCATGCCAAAATTTTCCAATGTCTTCAATAAACTTTTCATGCTTTCGCATGAAATTTCTTTTTACGTTTTGCTGCCCGAAATTCTAAAGCGTTCTTTTCAAAAGTCAACCCTCTGATCACAGTTTTCTCGGCCAAGAAAAGGTGCTCTCAATAAATTTATTACCAGCTGTTGGTTTCCTGCGAGAGACACTCGAGGCGTGCAACGTTTTTCCTTAAGGAGAAAGCTGGAGGGCCTATTATTGAATTATTCCTTGTCCATTGACGCAGCTCACACGTGGCACAATAAATTTGTCAATGCATTTCTTTGTGCTCCGTGTACTCGACACCGAATGGGCGCGTCGATGTCAAATTCTAAATTATGTTTCCTTGGAGGTCAGTTAGGCGCTTGTACGTCGTTTATTTTTACCACACAACCGGAAAAAGCAACGAAAAAATTCACAAAATCATTATATTTTTCTCTTAAAATTTATTTATTTGCAGTAAATTGTTTTTCCTGTTGCAGCTTTTTTACAAATTTAAGAAATTATTTTATTAAACAATAAGCTTGTTTTATAAACAGTGGATCTAGTTTAATTTTTCATAGTCAAGGGCAAGTCAGAGGGAAGCAGTCGGATTATTCTCGCCAGGTGGTGTTCGAAACTGCTAAGACGGTTTATTTCTTTAATGTAACCAATCCCGTCTTTTCACTTTCTAAATTAAGCTAATTATTTTTCACAATTTGATTAATTTTATCAATTAAACATGGAAATTAAATGGAATCTACGTCAAAATATTAATATAAACTTTTAATACCATTTCTGCCTAGAATATTTAGTGAAGAAATAATAAAATAATTCAAAAAGCATAAATTTTATTGGTTATATTGGTAAGGGTGAGACTCTTTAGACTCAAATTGGAGCCGAAATCTTTTTAAAGTATTTTTTTATTAAGATTGATTCTTATTTTTACACATTTTTAAAATCCTATTGTTTACAAATTCAATTATTGAAAAACAAATTTTTTTATTTTACTTTTGGACAAAATGACACAATTACAGAATATTTAGTTTTTTTTTAATTTGTTGAAATTTATAAGAAAGTAAACGCTCCATTCTGTTTGGAAATTTCTTTAAATTATTAAGTTTTTAATTAATTAAAATTAATTTTATTTAAATTTTATTTTCTTCTATTGATTTTTTTATTGTTGTTAAAGACAATTATTTAATTTCAAAAAATAAAATTTAGTCTTTCCTTCAATTTTTAATTGAATTTTGATTTTAAAATATCCTGAAGTAACATTATCAAGAATTGTTTAAAAATCCTGAAAAAATAAAGATTAAAATAAACAAAACATTTAAAATTAATGGTTAGAATAATAAAAGAGTAAAAAAGTAAAAAACCAAACAATTACGTCCTAACATAATAGCCTAATAGGTTTAAAATCAGAAACAATCCACATTTTTCCAAAATGAATGTTTTAGCAAAAATTAAACATAAAAACATTTAGACTTAGCATCAGTATTATTATAATTTTAAAACATCTAGAAGAATAAAAAACTGCACAAACTATACAAATCCATTTTAATTGTCCCTTGGCCTGTTGTGAGAGAATAAACGAATTGAATTGATAAATTGCCGCTATTCAATTTCAATCACGTCAACCGGTTCCTTCTTAACTAGAACATTCTCAATAACGCGTCTCTGCGTTTCACTCGCCGCTCTGCCCAAAAGCAGGTCCAAGATTTTTTCACCCAATCTCGAATTCGAGTGGCATCGCTTCTGATGCGAATCCAACTGATGCTTTTTGTCAAACTTTTGTTCGCACTCGGCGCACCGGAACTGATGCTCCTGTTTTTTCACAAATCGACACATGTCCAAGTGATGGGCCAAAAGTGTGTTGCACGGTTGCGGGAATCCGCACCTCGGACAGTCCGTCTGCCGCGTGTGACACTCGAAATTTTCCACCGAATTGCAAACACTTTGGCAAAAGCGGCATTCTTTGATCTGCTCTTCCTTGAAAACTTTGTACTCGATCTGAATAATTTCCTCTTCGTCCTTTTCCGGATTGACTTCGGAAACTTCCTCCGGAGTGATGGGAATTTCCTGAATTTTCTTCGTTTCCATCGGCGTTTCCGGACACAAATGTTGCCTGAATTTTGAATAACACTCGCTGGCGTGAGTGCAATATTTGCATCGGCGCAGAACGGTGTGCGTTTTTAAAGCAACGTTTGTGCTGAAATGTTTTCCGCACGGTTTGCAGTTTAAATAGTCGCAGCACTGGACTTCGTGTTGGGTGCAAAGTCCCCTGCAATCGAAACTCTGCCGGCACTTTCGGCAGTTAATGAAAGTTTTCCCGAAGTGCCCGTTTTCCGAAGAGTAGAATTGCTGGCAAAATTGGCAGGTGAGCCACGACATGGAGATGATTTCCTGCTGGTCGATTTTTTTCTGCTTCGGTTTCGAAGGGTTCGGGCAATGCAATCTGTGCACTTTGACCAGGCCGATGCACGCGATCGCCTCGCCGCACTTTCGGCACTTCCGGGCGCTTTTGCAGTGCTTTTTGAAATTGACCAAACTGAGCAGGAAACGCGAGCACGAGTTGCACTTCCACTTCTGCCGGATCTTTTTGTCTTTCTTGGGCAAATTCGGACAGTACCATCTTTTGTGACGGTTGAATAGTGAAGAGCACTCGAAAATTTCCGAGCAAAACTCGCACCGTTTCGGATTCAAGTGATAAAAGTAATTTCTCTCGTCGGTATGGTTGAATTTTTTGTCGCAAACTTTGCACTCCAGTCGTGGGGCGGCTTCATTGGTCGGCTGCGTGGAGGTCGAAAGGTCAGTCGCTCCATGAGGTTGGCACGGATTGACTGATTTATCTGGAAATTAAAAAGTTTAAAATAAGTTTTTATTTTAGAAATGTGAAAAAATTTAAATGAAAATTCATTCATTAAAAAAATGAAACTCACAAATGCTTGAAATTCCACGTTGGAGGAAAATCCGCGGCACAGTCGTGGATATTATAATCGATTCATCCTACAATCAATTAAAATATTTTTTACTAGATTTATAACTTATTAAATTTATATTAATTATATTTTATTAAATAATTATTTATCCGAATAAAGAAGCATCATTGAAATTAACGAACTAAAAAATAAATACTTAATGTTAAAATTTTAAATTTTTACTGTGGTGTTCATTTGTCCATTAATTTCCTTTTCTTTTCAATGATTGAATTAAAAAATTCTAAATCTGGAAAAAAATCTTCAACTTCAGAAACACACAAATGATGTTTTGATTAAATTTCTCTTCTATTAAAATTTAAAATTAAATTATTATTTATTAATCCACACCTTAATGTGAGAAAACTGTACTTACATTTTGCATGTTCATGGTTTTTTCGACTTGCTGGAGATGGACGATGTGCGTGGCCATCCGGAGCGAGGAACTCGATAGAAATAAACTTTTTAGTTGGGTCGCCGCATGCTTTGGTTCGCGAACGATAAAAAAGAAGCCGTGCAAGGCCGGGAGTGGAGGAACCTATAATCACATACGCATAACCCTTTCCCCTTCACATAAATTTAAAATGCTGATATGCGAAACGGATCATCATGTTTCTTATTTAGTTTCGTTTTTTTTTTCATTTTATATAATGATAAAAATTATAATTAATATCTGAAGAGTGTAATTTTTAAATACATTCAGAAGGTCCAAATTTTGCAAGTATTTTTAATTTTTCAACTTTTTTAGATGATGCAATCTATGCTGACGATGAAGCAAGAGCAAGTTCAAGAGGTTGTGGACCGATAAGATTGGCAGGACAACAAAAATGAGGAAAAATATAATTTATTTAGTTTTACTGACGTGGCGAGCGCGTGGAAAGTGCTCACATTTTTTGCTTGGGAGGGTCAATGACCTGAAAGAGTGGGAGGTAATTAATTAATTTTTTTATTTAAATTGCTTGAATTAACATTTCCAGTGCGTTGATTTCTTTTTAATGATGTTGTGATTGCAGGAGATTGAAGATAAATTTTTGTGAATTATTGTGGGAATGGTGAAAGTAATTAAACATCAGTCTCATCAGTTTATATAAAACAAGTGAACCATTTATTTACATAATATAAATAATAATTTTGATTTCTGAGTCAATTAGGAAAATTTTAAATTAGAGGAAAAGTCATGGATTAAAATTGTGCATCTAATCTTTTTACACATTTAATTACACAAAATATTTTTGTCATTAAGATTATTTAAAAATTTTCATCAATCTTCCGATTGGCATAAATAAATGTAAAAGAATTAACTTTTAAAATAATATACAAAAAGGCAATTTTGCTGAATCTTTGGCGAAGAAAGGAACAAAAAATGCCTATGCACTTTTTTGTGTTATGAAGTGTTACACATTAATGGAGAGAAATAAATTCAATAGCAAATGAACACCGTTGTTCAGACCTCGTTTTGGTATCAACTAAATCAACTTTGGGCAGGTACCTTTCAAGATTACTAGATCTAACTATGCAGATGGACCTTGAAAAGATTGCCGCTGGCAACAATTTTTGCTATCCCTTGGCCTCCTTCTATGACAATGAATTGTTTAAGTGATTCATTAGTTTGAAAAAAAAGCGGACGCAACAACGGATTTTCGCATTATTAATTTGTATAAAAATAATTAATTTTAGCAAATTGGAAAGGAGAATTTTTATTACTTTCTTTAAATTAAGTGGATAATTTTTATTTTTCAATGAAGTTTTATTAGAAAAGTGAATCTAAATTTATGTTTACGTGAATATTTAAAATCAAATTAAGTTGATATATATTTTTTTTTAATTCCTGCACACTCAAAATGTTATTCGACCGATTTGTTGCTAAGCGGATTTGGCCTACAGAAAAAAACTAGTCCTTTTCACCTTGCATATTTGCAGGCACGACGAGCTTCTTCGAGTTAATTTAAATATTATTTTATTCAACTTTTAATCATTAAATTAGTAAGTAAAAGGCATATATTAGCTTGAAACGTTTCTGTTAAAAGCAATCGAATCAAAAGGAACCGACGCTGTCGTTCGAGAGACCAAATGTTAATATATTTCCGACCGCAAATATATGTAATTGACCTAAAATTATGTAGCAATTTTATAAGGTGTCGCTAAAAGGAAGCAGACTTTTTTTTAGAATCACAATCCAGCTGTTCATACCCTCAGAACTGGTTTAATTGGCGCCGCATGAAGTTATTTTTCCTGCTAAAATTGTAGTTTTTTTTTTCAAAAATAATATTTCATATGCAAAATTAAAAAAAAGGAAAGGTTTATTAGAAAAACTTTTTATTGCACTCTGGAAGCAACGAATCTAAAATACAAATAATACATACGCCATATTTATATATTTAATTTTCTTCAATTTTTGTCCAAAAAATTCAAATTTCAATTCCTTACTCCCAAAAATTGTTTTTCTTTCGATCTAAAAATTTGAAATATATGTAATTAACAACTTAACATAAATTTAAATTCTCTTCTCTAATAAAATATTTACAAAAGACAATTTGTGATTTAATTCTTAAAAAAGCTAAACATTTTTAATTTTTTTTAAATTTAATTTTTAATAAAATAATTTTAAGCAATATATAATAATATTTTATTTTATATTATAATATCATGATTTGTTTAAATTTCTGACAATTTTCAAATTTATACTCTCGGCGGTTTCATTCATTCATCGTCAATAGTGATTATTTCCACCGGCTCATTTTTGACGATTTCACTCAAACTTTTATTCACATTTTTTTCCGGCTTCTTATCTTTCCGGCAGTGGCACATGTTGAGGTGTTGGGCCAACAGGGCGTTGCAGGGTTGAGCGAAGCCGCACCTGGGACAGTCGGTCTGCCGAGTGTGGCACTCGTAAACGTCCCGGTCTTTGCACAAGAACAAGCAGAATCGACACTGCAGATCCATCTCGTCCGGACCAGGCTCGATTCTCGGAGGCTCCGGCTGCTCCGGTTCTTCGCTTTTCGACGACTGGACCTGCTCGGGACACACGTGGTGCTTGAACTGGACGCAGCATTCGATCACCTGCGAGCAGTGGACGCACGTGCGCTTCTTGGTGTGGACCAAGCGCGAGTTGCTGCTGCACAAATGCTTGCCGCAACTTTTGCACTTGAGGAAGTCGCAGCAGATGAGCTCGTGCTGGTGGCACAGGCCCTTGCACTCGAATCGCCGTTTGCAGTTTCGGCAAGATCGGCGCACCGAGTTGAAGTGACTCGCTGGCGACCGGTAAAAATAAGGACACAGTTTGCAGGGCACCCTCGGCATCACGTTGGTTTTCGGCCGACGGGTTAAATTTGGTGCTGCGTTTTCTCCGATCCTGGGATGAAGAGACGGTTTCATCTCCCTTTTGTAATCAGAATTGGTAGAATCTGCAAAAAAATATATATTAATTAAAATTTCAAGAAAATTTATAAATATTTTAAATTAATTTTCAACAAAAATTAAGTGTAAAATGCAAAATAAATTTAGTTAGGTATGGTTGTCGTCATTTTTTATTATCATTTTATATTTTCAAATTTTGATTAGGTTGAAAAATTTGCAAATTAATATAGAGACAAATTATAGATTGAAATCGTTTTTATCCAAATTTGCATACAAAAAGTAAACCACCAATTTCAAAAATTAATTGTTTCGTCTGTTTTTATTTCATTAAAGAAGTTCATGACGAAGCGTGATAAATATTGTATTTAAAAAAAAATGAACAACAAAAACCATGCATTATTTCCTTCCTCTCTACACTTTCATATGATTCTTCGCGCGTTACATTCCATTTTGTATATTTATAACTGAAAGAGAAGATCAGACTTACACAGTGTTGAGTTCGCAGCTGCGTCTTCCTGTGAATCGTATTCATTCATGAAGCACTGCACAGGGATATTGTGCAAGAGTGTCGAGGACTCTTCTTGCACCTATGCAAAAAAAAAGAATGCAGATAATGTTAAAATTAAATTTTACTTTTTTATTCTTGAGCCATAAAAAGATCCGCACTTAGTTTTTTAAACTTTACCGTATTTAATGGCTTTAATAATTAATAATATTATTTTTATTAATAATGCAGAAGAACAAAATTTGGAAAATTAATTGAGATTTAAAAGAAATCAAAATAAAATTAGTAAAAAATAAAATCTTCGATATAATTCGCAAAAAAGGCGTTTATTGACGAGACTTTTGAAAGTTCAGTTTAATTTTCACCCCATCTTGCATTTTTTTTTTATTTAATGGATTAAACGTGCAAATTATTTAAAAGTTCCCTCACTATTTTACGCGCACGGCTTCTCGACGCAAGGACGGAAATATATTTTTGTCCCTAACCAATCTCAAAGCGAATAATCCGCTTATCTGTGTGGCGAATTTGAATAATAATCAGCCAGTTGCGCTTCGAGTTGAGCCACGTTTTGTGCCTTTTGCGCGCAAATTCAAGGCGCGCTTTATTGTGAAAAAGATCAGAGCGGAAATGAATTAATAAATAAAAAAAAAAATAATATTCAAAGCTAAACTTTTCCGTAATTAATCAATTCATCAACTGACTTAAATAAAATATTAACAAATTGAAAAAAATTCGACTTGCAGTTTTCAAAATAATTTTTTCAGTACCAAATTAGTTTAATTTTGCATTTTAGATTTAACAGAAACCTTCAAATTTCAGTACCAAAACGGCGAATTTCAGCTCAACAATTGAATAAAATCAATATTACTTACGTTAAAATCGCTCATTTTTGTTGTTGTTGATTATGAAGAAAAAGCGAGGGAGAAAATTATCTGCAGCTGATATGCGATCTTTGTGGCCTGCAGTCTTCGCTCCACACTCGACACCAGACTAAGTTGTACTGACGCTGTCGGGACAAAATACTTGATATATAAACTTGACCTCTCAGAGACCTCATCGAAGTGGGGGTGGGAATATGCAGACAAATGAGACACATTTGTTGGAGACACATATGTTTTAACTCCCTCTTTTCTTTTTTCACAAAAAGTGCAAGCAAAGCAAGAGCAGAGAGCACAAATTATTTTCTCTCCCCGGCGCGAAATGAATTTGTTCGTTATAATTTCATATTTTATCTTCATCATGAACGTAAGCATCGAAAATGCAAAGTAAAGAATTAAATTCAATGACTAGTGATATTAATTCTTTCAATATTTTACTCTGCTTTTTCTCGCTGCAGTTTAATCCTTAAAAAAATATATATAAATTTTTGTTGAAAATTATTTTAAGTGCTTATTGAAATTTTTTTATTTCTGTGAGTCAAAGCCCAAAAATAATTACCTGTTTTAATAACAAATACAATTTTAATCAAATGATGAAAAATGATTTTTAAATTTTATTATTTGCATGAGCGCGTGTTAAAATGCTTCACGCAGAGAGAAAATAAAAGCCTTTTTATCCCCTTGCTCACTTCTCCACGCGCGCATTAAAATATCTAATAAAGTCATCATCGTCTCGCACATGGTCTGAAATTATAATTCACGCTGATATATTCGCCTCCTTTTAAAATATTCAAGCGCGTCGAGCACATATGTTTTTTTATTCAAGTCTTCGCATAAAAAGAACGCACTATTATTATACTTTGTATTGCGACTCCGACGAGTTGGAAATATAATTCTCATCACTCGCGAGACGCAGGAGGCATTTTTCATTCTTCTCTTGCTGGTGTCACTGTTCGGGAGGTACTTTTTATTTCAAAATGTTCGTCAAGCTGGTAATTTCTCGTGCTTTGAAGCATCACCAGTATTTATTTTAGTCACACTTGTCACATAATTCTCTGCTAACTTTTTAACACTAAAGACGAATGTGAGCGGATTAAAAGTCGCAGAACTTAATAAGTCAAGAAATATAATTTTATTTTTAGCGAAAATGGAGGAACTCAAAGCTCTTAGAAAAGTTGGAAGTTTAATTCACTTCACAAAAAATATTTCAGTTTGACTTTTATTAAAAAAAAATCAATTCTTTTTTGGGTCCTCCCTTGCAATTAAAATAATAACAGCTCTGGGCCTTTTATGTTTTGAAGCGAAGGCACCTGCACTCAAATTTCTTTCGCCACTTGCAGAAAACGGTTAAGAAATTTAGAAAGTGTTAATAATGGTCACTTTGACTGTCGAATAGTCCGAAGTGCTCACACGTTGCGATGATCTTGGTCAAAAATTTCCATCTCTGTATGTAAAACAAACAACTCCTTACTCTTTTTTTTTCACAACAAATAAAATAGCCCATTAGTATTTTATAAAATTATATAGAGGAAATTTAAACTGATGAATTACTGAAAAAATTATATATGAGTTTATTTTCTTAATTTGTCATCATCATTAAAAATGATTTAAATGATTAAATTATTATCGTCGAAAAAAAAAATTAAAAATAAATTTCTAGACTTGGATTAAATTTTTTCAAGGCAAATATACTATCTCTATTTTTTTTATACCATGAGAAGTACAGATGAGGTAAATAATTACAAACAATGCCGAGTAAAATACTTTGTATTAATTCTATTTATTTAAAAAAAAATCAAATTTTAACAGCTATTTCATCTCTTTTCATATTACAACATACATACAAATAATGCCAGTCATTAAATCATTTTTTTCATCAATAATAAATTATTCAAATTTTGAGACAACATTAAATTAAATTACTAAAGTATGAATATTTCAAATCAGCTTAAAAGTAAAGTTTTCCTCTTTTTCCACAAGCTATTCAATGGTGATAACATCATCAGGGTCATTCTTGACGACCACCCCGAACACTTGGCCTTGAACTTCGCCACCCCTTCGCTGTTCCAGCAGCTCCAAAATCCTCTTGTCCAGGAGTTGAGGGCGCCAGTGGCGGCGTCTCTTGTGCGACTCAAGTTTGCGCCTTGATTTCATCTTCTTGTTGCACTCGGGGCACCGAATCTCAGACCTTCGGTCGTCGCTGCAGGTGTCCATGTGCTGGGCCAAGAGGGCATTGCATGGCTGTTCGATTCCGCAGCGAGGACACTCGGTCGACTGGACGTGGTTGGCAAAGATGTCCTCCGTGGTGCAGAGCATGGAGCAAAAGTGACACTTTTTGAGCAGAAGGGCTTCAACTTGAGGCTTCTGATGGTCACTTATTTCCTCATCCTCGACATAATTTTCCATGTCCACTTCTTCTTTGGAGACTTTCGGCTCTTCTTTGGGCTGCTCCACTTTCATCTCTGCTTCGGAGCACTGATGCTGTACGAATTGTACGAAGCACTCGCTGGCAAACATGCATTTTGGGCAGCGCCTCTGTCTTGCGTGAATTTGCAGGCTACTTTCCGAAAAAAATGTTTTGCTGCAAATCTTGCACTCCACTAGGTTGCACTGTGATTTGTGTTGCAGGCAGAGTCCTCCGCACTCGAATTTTTTCCGGCAGTTGCTGCAGGTCGACTCGATCCTGCCAAAGTGTTTCTTGTCGGAGTTGAAAGGATGGTTGCAAAATTGACAAACTTTACTGCCAACCAAATTCTTTGATGCTGCAGTTCGCTTTGGCTTCTCTGGATGGCGGCGGTGATAGGCTTCGTGGATTCTTGCCAATCCATCACAACTAAGGACAGTTCTGCACTTGCTGCACTTTTTCTTCAGTGTGTGCTTCTGGAAGTCTTGCAAACCCGAAATCATTTCCTTGCAAAGTTTGCAAATATGAAAGCTGGCATTTTTGGCTTCCTCCTCGGGCTCTTCTTTCTTGACTGAAGATTTGCTCTTCGATTCTGTCACGGGGGCGGGTCTCTGCATTATTACTACGGGCGAAGCTGGAAAAAGTGCAAGAATTACAAATTTGATTCAAGTTTTAAAGCATGGCAATTGTGAAATTTAATTGAATTATTTGAATATATTGATATATTTGTGAAGCAATAAAAAAAAAAATGAATCAAAAATACAATTTTTCGCAACTTACAGTAGTCATAAGAGACGTTCTTCTTGCCAGGGTTTGATTTGGGCGCTATCTTGACACTCTTATTTGTGTCCTGAAAAATAAAAAAAATGTAAATTATTAATTTTATTCTTAATTTTGCATAAAAATAAGTATTCTCAAATTAACAATTCTAGCTTGGAATAAAAATGACGTTTTTCCTTTACTTTTTTGTCAGTGGCCTTTTATAAATTTCAACTCATCAAGAATCGAGCCTCGCTTTTTAATTTTTTTCAACGTCGTTAATTAATTTAAAAAAAAATTGTTATCACATCATTACATTGATTGAGTATTTGCTCAGAAAAATTAATAAATAAGAAATAAAGGATAATATTTTTAATGGCATTATTTGGGGAAGATAGATTTGAAAATTCTCAAATTTAAATTTTTTAAATCAAAATAAATCACGGACACAATTTCCATAATTTTTTGTTTTAAATATTTCGGCAGAACCCAGCAATCTTTAAGTATATATATTGATCAACCTTTTACTCTGACATATTTTTGTAAAACTCCTGGAGTGCCAAGTCCACCCCTCGAAACATGAAATTCTGCCGAGGCCTAGATTGGTACGTAAATTTGATTGACGCATCAATGTGTTTTGCTCCCTGCGATCAGCCGCGCGCCCACGAGTGCGCATTTTTCCTCGAACCATTTCATTTTTACAAAAAATGTTAACAAGTTGCGAGTTCGAAAGGAAAAAATATCTCATCTCTTGACTAGAGGACCGTAAAATTCAGCAATTTTTTAAAACAATAATATTAACGGAGGCTCACTTTGCGTCCTAATTTAGGTGACAAGCAAAGAATTTCGATCGGGCGAGAGAAATGACAACGAAAATGAGTCGCATTGCAGGCAGGCCATGTTATTTTCCAGCCCTAATAGGCTTCTTATGCAAATTGTGAAAATTGACTTACCGCGCCGCGACTGCGGTTGGATTGTGATTGATTTCGGGACTTTCGGGTCGCAAGCGACCGTACGGAACTCCGAAGCAACATCGTAATTGAAAAGAAACGTGCAAGACGAAGTAAGCGAGTGATGAGGGATGAGAGAAATATTGTTGTTTGCTCCTGTTGCCTGCTCCTTTCCTTCGCCCTTTCACTGATTGGCTGAGAGATTGATGATTGATGACGTAATTATGCACTAACCTGGCACCTGGCGCCACCACGGCGAAATTGGAATTATTAGAAAAAGGTTGTGCTCGACTAATAAAAAATTGTCCTGCTTTTAGGCTGTTGTCTATTAAACTGACGAAATTTTTTCATAAATTAAGAATTAAAAATTAAATTAAATAGCAGGCGTGAGAGAACTAAAACTTTGTCAACCGAGGCTCACTACGGGCCTTTTTGATCTCGGAAGTTTTTTGCAAAATTCTTGCTTGTCCAACAATTCCTTTTTGAAATAAATTTTTTTCCAACAATCGGATGTCAACCATGTATTGTAACATTGTGGAAAAATGATAACAATAAAAGGTTTTCAAGATAAAAAAAAAAATTAGGTTGGCTGTACTCTAATTATAGAACTGAAATTATTATTGGAATCTTAAATTAAACTTAATTTAAAATATACTTAATTATAGTTTTATATATTATTTATTTAAATGAAATTTATAAAATTTCTGTTGCTTTCCAGACTTTACAGTCAACAATTAGTATTTTTCAATTAAATTAACAAATTTCTGAAGTTTCTCTGAATCGCACACACAAAAATCGCTCGATTGAAAATAAAATTATTAAAATTTTAATGAAATGTGAATTAGTAAAAAAAAAAATTAAGTTTCATTTTGTATAAATTATAAGACAAAAGAAAATGAGCCGTTTTATTTATATTTTCTGTCAAAGTCACAATAATAATTTTAGAAGTCACTTCAAAAATTCATTAAAAATCTTCATAATGAAATATTCTTTTATTTAGTTAATTTCATATTAGAATATCTTTTTATAATTTTTTATTCAGTTTGTCATTGTACTCATTGTGGTTTCACTTGTTAGAAATTATAATTGAGCAATGATCGTTTTTTCCTTCTTTACCATCTGGACAGCTAGCGACGTTCTTGCCTCGGCTGCGGGTGTCCCTTTTCTTCTTTGCAGCAGCCCTGAAATCTGGTCGCCTGCAGCTTCTGGGGAATCTCTTAGCACTGAAAACCCTCTCGTTATTGTCCATATGCTGGGCCTAAAGCGTCGGCACAATGTTTAGCCATCCTGCAACGAGGGCAGAGAATGGGTTGTAAACAATTTTCTCTCCGCAAAATTTACAGCTCTCGAAAATTGATTTTACTTCAACAAAAAACATTTCAGTTACCTCTTACATATTTTTTTTTTATTATAAAAAATTCCCTTTCAGCAGTAACAACTCCTTCTTTGGGTCCTCCCCTGCAATAAAAAATAATAACAGCTCTGGGGGGCCTCTGGACCTTTTATGTTTTGAAGCAAAGGCCCCTGCACTCAAATTCTTTCAACACTTGCAGCAAACCGATTAGAAATTTAGAAAGTGTTAATCATTATCATTTCGATAGTCGGAAGTCCTCACACGTTGTGGTGATCCGATTGTTAACTCAGCATCCCGAGATTTGAGAGATGCATTTTGTATTAATTCTCTAGGGAGACAAAATTTCTCATTTCCGTATAATATGTAAAAAACGTCTCTTGACTTTTTTTGTATTTTTTTACAAGCAAATAAAAAAGCCCTTCAAAATTTATAAACGATGTAGAGGAAATATTAACTGGTGATTTATTATACAAATTAAATATGGCTTATTTTCAATTGTCAATTTTTCATTGCCAATAAAAGTGATTAAATTATTACTGTTGAAACGCAAAAACAAAATAAATTTCCACACTTGGCTTGTTTTAATTTTTATTAATTATGACAAAAATATCATATTTTTTTTTTTTAATATGAGGCACAGATCAGGAATTTTTTACTCAATAATGACAAACAAAGCCAAGTAAAATAATTAATTCATCATTCTATTTATTTATTATTACACATCCTTTCATATATTTTTAATTTATATTACAACATAAAAGTAATTAAATCGACAACAGATTATATCAATTTTCTTTTTACATCATCAAGATACAATTAAATTGAATCACTGATAAAAAAATTTCAATTCAGCTTCAAAATGAAGTTTTCTCTTTTTCTACAAGTTATTCAATGATGATAACATCCGCAGGGTCACTCTTGACAACTACCCCGGACACTTGGCCCCGAACTTGGCCACCCCTTCGCTGTTCCAGCAGTTGCAAAATCCGGTCGTCCAGCATTTGTGAGAGCCAGTGGCGGCGTCTCCTGTGCGACTCAAGTTTGCGCCTTGATTTGACCATTTTGTCGCACTCGGGGCACCGAATTTCCGTCCTTCGGTCGTCGCTGCAGGTGTTCATGTGCTGGGCCAAGAGGGCATTGCATGGCTGCTCGATTCCGCAGCGAGGACACTCGGTCGACTGGACGTGGTTGGCAAAGATGTCCTCCGTGGTGCAGAGCATGGAGCAAAACTGGCACTTTTTTAGCAGAAGGGCTTGAACTTGAGGCTTAATCTGAAGAACTTCTTCCACTTCTATTTCCACTGCAGCCACTTCTTCGCATTCACTTATTTGCTCTTCCTCCACAGGAATCACAGGTATTTCCATCTCTTCTTCACCAGAAACAGTTTTATCCTCCTCTTGGACCACGTCTTCGATGGATTTTCCCACTTCATCTTGAATTTCTTCCGAGCATCCTTGATGTCTATGCTGCCTGAATTGCTTGACGCACTCGGAGACATATGGGCATTTCCGGCAGGGCCTCTCTTTCCTGTGATCCTTCAGACTGCTCTTCGAGCTCATGTTTCGTCCGCAGCCTTGACACTGGAGAAATTTGCAGCACTCCGCCTTGTGCTCCACGTAGAGGCCCCTGCACTGAAACTTCTTCTTGCACTGAATGCAAGTCGAGTGCCTTGTTGAAAAGTGATGCGCTTCCGATCGGTAGACTTTGTGGCAAAATTCACAGGCGCTGCGCTTCTTCTTGGCTGAAAAAGCTGAAACGGTGCGTTCTTCGGGCTTGCAATTTTGGTACGACTCGTGGATTTTCAGCAACTCTGCACACCGAAAGAGGGAACCGCATTTTTGGCAGTTTTTTTCCTGCTTGTGCTTCTGGTGTTCCTCTTCGGTGCAAAGAAAAAACTCCGAACACGCTTCGCACTGCAGAAATTTCTTCTTCGTTTTACCCTTTGGCTCCTCCGCCTCCGGAGTCTTGTTCTTGGCCGACAGAACTGGGTCAGATGGCTGCGCGACGGTAAATCTTTCCAACAAAAGGTCGAACGCTGGAAAAAGAAAAAAATTGCAAATAATTCAATTTGAAGTTTTTTAAGCATGAGAATTGTGATAAAATTATAATGTTTATTTCAACAATGAAATATTTGTGAACCAACAAGCAAAATTAAGGACAAAATCATAAATGAAAAACAATTTTTCCATTTCTTACTACGATCCAAAGCTGTTTCCTTCTTGGGAGAGGTTTTTTTGGGCTCCATCTCTGCTCTTGTGCGTTTCCTAAAAAAATAAAATTTGGATTTTTAATTCAATGCTCTTTTTTCAGCTAGTGTAACAAATTATCTCTTAAAACTATATAACTACTTGGAATAAAATTAGCGTTTTCTCGACAATTTTTTTGTCTGTGAAAATGAGCCACTCATACACAAAACTTGGAGGAAATTAAGGCCTTTTTTAAATTTCTAATCAAACCTCCATCGTTAATGAAACCTTGATAATTAATTAAAAAAAATTGACAAGTTGCTGAATTTTTACAAACCCTTGACATTTAAAACAATCACTCAGAATTTCCTGCTCCAAAATAGATAATTTTTTTAGTGAGATCAGTAATTTTAAAAAAAACTCCAGCTATAAATAAATTAAATTTCACGTTTAAAGCAAATTTGATTGCGAGTAAAAATTAATTTCTTTGTATTTTGTTGCAAATATCCATTAAATAAGAAATAAATAAATTTTTTTCTTTAAAAAAAGCAGGGCCTGTGTTAGGATCGGGCTAATTTTGCCTGCTGCATCGGTGTATATTTGCCTGTGCCGCGTAATAATTTATATGCCTGGGGCATTATTTACAAGCGAACACAAGTTGGTTTTTGGAACGAAAATGAAAATCATATTTCTCGGCTAGGACCAAAAATAGCAGCTTTTTTTTAAATTTCAAACTGAATGGTGGAGGATCTTAACTTCTATAATTCTTGAACTTCTCCATTGAGCCGAGTGAGAAATTAAATCAATCGGTCGAGTCTGTGCATTTCTCATGCGCAGACACGCCGCCGACGCGAGAAAATGACTAAAATGTAAGCAGCGCTTTTTTTCTTAGGCTTTAAAGACCTGTCCATGAGCAACCTGTGAGAAATTCGACTTACCGCGAAAATTTCGTTGAATTTTATGGGTTTATCGGGGTCTGCCCGACTGCACGAAACTCGAACGAAAATCAAAACAAACGTGGAAACGTGCGAGGAGGCTTCCGTGTAGCGCAGAGAACCTTTCTGTAACTGAATGGGTTGGGTATAGGGTGGGGAGATCACTGACCGACCAACCTGGTCCCTGGCGGCACGACGCCGAACTAGAAGAAGGGAGCTCGGTGATTGGCTAATTGAGAAAATTGAGACTTTTGTACCTGACAATTAAACTAATTAAAATTTCAATAGAAATTAGGAATTAAAAATTAAATAAAATTTGCATAGGACATATTTGGTTGAAAACCAAAGAATTCTGTTATCAATAGAAATCTATGATGAGAACAAAAACCGTCAATCGAGGCACACTGTGATCTGTGATAGATGCCTTTTATTCCAACAATACCTTTTTCTCCAACAATTGGACAAATGGAAACAAGAAAAATCAGACTTCTAACCATGTAATAATTTGAACTGAAATTTAGTGTATTTTTATCTTTAAAGATTATTGCCTTTGTAAGCTATTTTTTATTTTCTAGACTTTATATTTTGATGATTGTTGAAGATTATAGTTAAATTAAATGTGCATTTTCTCCTTATTGGCTTTTTTAAAAATAAATTACTAAATAATTTTTAAAATTAAAATTGGAAAATATATTCATTGTATATTTATTAAAATTAAGAATATATACAGATTTATTTACATATGTTTTGCCGTGGCCAAAATATAATTCTAAAACCAACTTTTAAACATAAAATGCAGTTATATTCACATAAATTTAAAAAAATTATACTATTTAAATAAAATTATTCCAGGAAACATTTCTTTAAACAATTAATTTTTTCCATTTTTTTTTTAAATGTATGATTCAATTTTTATCAGTGGTTTCCCTGAATTCAAACTATAATTATTGAGCATTTTTTTTTTCAATCAATAGCTGGTTCCATCTTGAAAACGACGTTCTTGACTTGGCTGTCGTTGTCCTTTTTCTTTTTTGCAGCAGCTCCGAAATTTGGTTGCTCAAGTTTGTGCTTCTGCAGTTTGCGGCTCGTCTGGTGAATCTCCGAGCACTGAAAATCCTCCCTCTTGGCGCTGCACAAGTCCATGTGTTGGGCCAAAAGGGTGTTGCACGGCTGGGCCATTCCACACCTGGGGCACTCGTTCGGCAGATAATGGTTGTGGAAAATTTGTTCTGTGCAAAACGTGGAGCAAAATCGGCACTTTTTCAGCAAAAGCGGTGGAACTCGAAGCTCTAGAAAAACTTCTTTCACATCAACAAATACATTTTCCTCTTTGATAATTTCTGATTTCTCTTCGAAGCTAATCTCATTAATTTCTTCTTGCTTTTCACTTTCAGCAGCAACAACTCCCTTGCGAGTAAAAAACTCGCAGCTCTGATCCTTAATATGTTTGATGCAAAGGCCTCGGCACTCGAATTTCTCCCTGCACTTGCTGCAAGTCGATGTATAATATCCAAAGTGACATTTTTCTGATTTGTACTTTTTTCCACATAACTGGCAAACAGACCGGTTCGCTGGAATATCAGGGGAGGCTTCTTTTTCTTTGTTCTCCCCGGACTTGTTACATTCGTGATTTTCCACCAAACCGTCGCACTCGATGAGCAAACCGCACTTTTGACAATTTTGAGCAAATTTGTGCTTGTGGAAATCTGATTTGGAGCAATTTAAAAATTTCAAACAAAAAACACACTTCTGCGGTGTGACAATCATTTTCTTAACACTTTCATTTTCCATCTGCTCTTCTCGGGCAGGCGGCGGGGGTCCTTTTTTATCTGATTGTGAGGCGTAGATCTGCTTAAAAGTGGCGTTCATTGATGCCGGCGACATGACGAATTGCTCAAGTGACTGCACAGGAGATCTGATAGAAACTGAAACAGAGCAAAATAATTAGATAAATTATTTAATAAAATTAATCAAAATTTTATATTAATAATTCTATTTTTATATTAGCGGACAATTTCAATTGGATTTCGCTGGACTTCTAATGAAATAAATAAATCTTTAATTTAAAAAAATACACATAGTGGAATTAAATTTAATAATATGAAATATATTTTTCAAACACAAGAAAAAGTTTTTTATCTACCATAAATTAAATAAAAAATTAGAATCCTAAAAATAGGATTTTTTTTTATTTCTTTGTTTATTTATTTGCTTTGAATTCATTTCTTTAAAATGAACTAATTTTTTAAAAATCAAATGAAGGCTATCCGAAAGCTTTAAGGTTGGCGATTTGAAGTAGAAGTCGAAAAATTAAACAAAAAATTGACATTAATTAAAAAAAAATCTTTGAAAAGTATGGTTTTATGAGATGAAATGCTAAAAACTAACCAGGCATTTTATTGTGATGCTCTTATCTTTAATATACTAAATAGCTAGCTCAATGTGCGATCAGCAAAATGTTTTAATATTTTATTCATAAATTTTTGTGAGAATAAAAAAAATAGCACAGGAATTTATAATTTCCTTTATCTTTTAAGTGAATTTCATGTGTTGAGCGCGCAACCAGCTGCTGAGACAAGGGTCCTTTTTGATTCAACTCCGCGGTGAACTTTGCGGCTTGTTTGAGCCCCGCGACAAAACGACGTTTTGGCTGATCACCTGCGCCTCGGACCGCGCGTTTGTCCGCGCGAGCCCTCGTCGACTCACGCACACTCTCGAGCCACTCTTTTAGGATGAGAAAAAGCCTACCTTCCAGGGGCTACCGTTGTGTATTTCCCTACACCTAAGCTCCGCACCCCCGCCGATTGGCAATGTTCCTATCTTACAATGTGACCGGTGTGACCCATAAGCATTAAAAAATAAAGAATTTGAATTTTTCTTCACACAAATGAGGGCCGTAGAAATGATCCAAGGAGAGGAATTGCAGATGCGCGAAAGTGACGTTTTCAGAGGAATTAATTTGAAATTTAAATGGATTTAGAAATTAAGAAAAATTATATATTATTTTTGGGCAAATCTGATGTGTGTGTTTTTACGTGGAAGCAACTCTTGGATTATTGAGAAATGGAAGACTTACTGCGAAGAAATGTGGCTAAATCCGGGGTGTGAAAATCCAAATGAAGAAAGAAGACAAGAGCACGTACGTCTGCTCAAATCGAGGATCTCTCGCGTACTAACTGAAATCTGTTTGGTCCCAAACCATCCTTGAATAGGAAAGCAGAAAACATGTTTAACACTATTTGGCCATAAACTTGGAATAAACTGGGCAGAAACAACCCTATACCAGCGCCACGGATGGCAAAACGCCCGAGTTAACTCTTCTTTTTTTAGTCCTTGGTTTTATTATGTTGAAAATCTAAAAAAAAGGCAAGATTTTTCATTTTTGGTAAAAATTGACATTTTTTTAATAATTTTTATTGGAAAGTAAATAATAGGATTTGTTTTATTCCAATCATTTGTTTCTAGATAAAATTATATGAAAATTTAGTTTTAACCTCATTTTTTTTTTAAATAAATATACGAAAAAGATTTTTAATACAAATTAACGATTGAAAAAACGGTGTGGGAATGGAAATACTTTGAAAAGTACCAAAATAATATAAAAAAATTGGCAAAGATAATGAAAATTTGCAAGTCGAATGCAAATGATTAGACGTTTTTCGCATTTGAATTCCAGGCTGATTTTCTTATGACTAGAAAAAAAGATTGTAAATTTACCCGAATGGGTCTCACAATAAGTCCTTATTACAAAGAGGAGAGCTATGGTTTCGAGAGCAGTGCACTCATGTGTGCTGGCTGGCGTGATTCTGGAGAGTGTCTCGGCCTCAATCTATTGAATCTATGCATTCCCGCCGGACACATGCATTTTGTGAGAGATTTTTTTCTGATGGGTTGTTCTGCTCTGTATGCGGGCAGTGAAAAGTGCATCAGGGGTTTTTTTGTAATAGAGCACTCTGCAGGCCACGCTTTTTAATGTTTTTGGTGAGAATGATGACTCCGCAGTAGCTCGTAGTGGACAAGATGCGATCCAAGTGAGCGCGCGCGAGAGTGTAGCTTTCTTATTATTTGGTGAGCGCTCTTTTTGCGCTCTTCGTTTTTTCACCGCAGCAACAATTTTTAAATTAAATTTAAGAAATTCCAAGCATCGTTCTTCTTTTTTTCCAGCTGTATTTGTAATTAAATTTTTTTAAACCTTCTTTATTTTTTTTAATTTATTTTAGTTCCTCTGGCTCAGTCAAATACGCTTTCTTCAAAAAGTGGGAAAAAGAGATTTATCTTTAAGATTTGAGTGGTCTAGTTGCATTTAATACTAAATGGAATCCTCATTGTCTGATATTATGCAATTTAATCAATTTTTTTTAATCTTTGAATTGCATGGGCTTCTATAGATAGAAGCAAACTTAAAAAATATTTATTTACTTGAATTAATTTTATTTTGGAAATGAAGAAGTCTGGCTTTTCCTCGTTGCAAAAAAAAATTTTATCCAAAAACAAACAAATTTTATTTTATTAATTTTAAATGGAAATCTTTTTATGTTTTGAATTGGGAAAAATTTAAAAAAAGAGCGCAGAATGCGAGCACATATATAGTGTTCTTGTGACTCGCAATCAGAGAGCGCGAGCGCAACAACCTGCGAGCGCAGCCCACTATGCAGTACAGCTTTATTTTTGCTTCCGTAAAAGCTTCATATGGAAGCCGCACAGTAAGGCCATGAAACATATTTGTTTTACAATACTCGCAAGCTTCAAATTGAAACATGATTTGAGAAATATACAGACAATCGACACCGAAACTGGGCGAAAAAAAACTATAGATAAAATGACATTTTGAAGTTTTTTTTTACTTATCACGCATATCCGAATCCGGTGCGGGAATAGATGTCAAGGCAACACCCACCTTGCCCACTGTGGCTCAAATATATCATTTTTTTTTTACCACAGCAACCATCTAAAAATCCACTTTTCCTCCGAAAACTGTCTAATAAAAAGTAGATTATTCAGCGTCACCAAACAGCGAGTCCGAGCCGAGCGCGTTTGCCGGCCATGAGAGGGGCAATCGCCGTTTATGCGTCGGGGAGAGAGAGCCTCTTTTCTGGACAAATGTGAGCTTTCACGTGGTCGAGAGTGCGATCGAGCAAAATTAAAGCCGGGGCCACTGTGATTGCAACCGCGCCGTTTTTTTCGCTATGAAAATAAATATACCTGCAGAACGATCGATCAGAAAAATCTCCGTGTAACAAAAGATATATTCATGACAATGTGAAAATCTCTGATTTTTTTTATTCTCACTCTAAATTCTGAAAGCGGATCTCTGATCGAAAAATATTTAAAACTAAATTTAAATAAAAAAGGACAATGAACTTTTTTTGCGGATAGATAGTTTTATTTCAAAAAAGGAAACACGGAAACATTGCGGCGCGCTCCACTCTCTCTGCTGCTTTTTCTCGCATTTGCCCTCCACATGGCCAACAAATGCGCTCTTCAACCTACTCGCTGTTTTATCACTCTTTGTAAGAAGGCTCGTGACCACATAAATATGGGGTAAATTTAATGAATGTCCAGAAAGGGAGAAGAAAAATGATTATAATCAAATTTTTAACGTTTTTGTTGGAAATTAACAGACAAAATTAACCTATTTTTTTTTCGTGGTATATAGAATTTCACGATTGATGGTGATTTGAATTTAAAGTCGGCTTTTCCTCGACAGGTTTTGTGAGTTGTTTATTGTATTTTCTTAAACAATGAACAACTCACAAAACCCATGATTAAGGAAAAGCCAACATTAAATTCAGATCACCATTTTTTAAGTTTGAAGGAAGTATCACCTAAAATAACCTGTTTTAGATCATTTAAGATACTTTAAGATACATGGGTTTGCGGACGATATAGTTTTTTTCTCAAAATGGACAATTAGTTCTGCGCGGCCACATAAGAAATGGTGTAAGAAATAGGCCTCTTAAAAAAATTAGAGTTTATAATGCATAATTAATAAAATTTTAAACAATATATTCTGTTATTTTCGCCTTTATCATCTGCAAATATTTTTTATCAAACACAGTAGAATATAATAACATATGGGCACATGTGCATTGAGTTGTGGACACTGGTTACCAACGTTGGTGAGCCGGGGGGAGTGTGTATTGGTTTGTGGACACGCATAACGAATGTTCGTGAGCCGGGGCGCGAGGCGGCCTCTCGGCGGTCACTGTGAGGCGGCCGGCGCGAGGCGGCCCTCTCGGCTGCCTTCTCGGCGGTTCGCTCGGCGGCCGCGGTAATGCGGCCTGGCGCCGGGGCACGGTGATGCGGTCGGAGTATGAGGCGGCCCTCTCGGCAGCGCGCTCAGCGTCGTTTGGCAGCGTGCTCAGCGTCGCTCTGCGTTACTCGGCCGCGCGTTCAGCGTCGCAGAGCGCGTTGCCGAGAGGGCCGCCTCATACTCCGACCGCATCACCGTGCCCCGGCGCCAGGCCGCATTACCGCGGCCGCCGAGCGAACCGCCGAGAAGGCAGCCGAGAGGGCCGCTTCGCGCCGACCGCCTCACAGTGACCACCGAGAGGCCGCCTCGCGCCCCGGCTCACGAACATTCGTTATGCGTGTCCACAAACCAATACACACTCCCCCCGGCTCACCAACGTTGGTAACCAGTGTCCACAACTCAATGCACATGTGTTCATATGTTATTATATTCTACTAAACACCAATTTTACTCACAAAATCACTTACTTTTCTCAAAATTGAAAGTTCCAAATTTGATGAAATTTTTGGCGTTTGGAAGAGTAAAATGTGATCTCAAGAAACGTCTAGCGTTTTGTGCGGTTACCTGGGAGATGCGTGTTTCATAAGAGCGAAAGCTATTGAATAAAAATTCAAGCTTGATATTAGGGTTGCGAGGTGTTTGGGCGAGTAAAATGTGCGCGCTCAAGAACCTTCTAGAAGGTTCGAGAAAAAGCGCTTTTGCTTGTGGAGAAGAAAAATTGTGCGAGTTTTCAGAGGAAATTGATATGCTATTAGCTATAGCGCAGTTAATTGAATCGAAATTGCTTGGCCGCGCGGACGGCATGCTGAGTCCATCACCAAACGACTTCCTGCCTGAACGCCCTGAACTGATTGAAAGTCCAATTAAAGTGGAAAGTAAATTAAATTGAATTAAAATCACTTCTGTATTTGATTATTTCAACTAATCTTTCAAAATGGATTTTTGTGAATTGAGCCAATTTAGTTCAAAATTTTATTTGAAAAGGAAAAAATTTTAAGAAGAAGACTTCGCTCACAAATTAATGCATTTGTCCATGAAATGCTCCTGCTGGCTCTAGTATGGCGATTGCCCTGGTCGAGGCCCAAAACAAGCCGTTTTTTTTTTTTTTTTGAATGACCGCATCTGTGTAAATGTTTGCCGCGGCATCTTTTCTCGAAGTGCATCCTGCCATAAATTCCAGATGAATGCAGCACAAAACCTCTCCCGTGACCAATGCAGAACATTTGCAGCATATATTTATTTTACGATTTCAAATGCATGAACCCTCTTTTCGAATTTTATATGACACACGTGGTCTGCACGCGGCGGCGTTATTTTACAAAGCCGCAGGTAGAATTTTTCTCTTTTTTTGTGCAGTCTCCCTAGAGTGCGCGGCGACGGCGGCCACATTCGTTCCACACTTTTAAATTTTGCTCTCTTGTCCATGGAAAACTAAAATTGGTTCTCTTCTCATTTACTTTCCTCCAAAAATTTTAATTTTATCCAAATTTTTATGAGAAATTATAAAATTACACGATTTATTCTATTAATTTCAAACTCATTTCTCACAAAAGTTTACAGTAAATAATGAAAAATTACACAAAGTAATGTGGTTTTTAAATTTAATGCAATATTCATTATTTGAATTTAAAAATTTTTTAAATTCAAACAAATACCAGCATAAAATGAAATTTTCACTCGATTTAATTTAAGTTTGACATTCTCTGGTGCGAATCATCTTTCCGCTCAAAACGGCACACGTCTAGGTGATGGGCCAAAAGGGTGTTGCACGGCTGGGCAAATCCGCAACGAGGGCAGTCGATAGGCCGATTGTGACACTCAAAATTTTCGATCGATTTGCATACAAGTTGGCAAAACCGGCACTGCATTTTTGATAACGGGGGCTCAATTTCTTGAATTTGTTCATCGTCACCAACAACAATTACCTCTTCAGCTTTGTCCCCACCTTTTTCTGAACATTTGTGCTTTTTAAAGAGGCTGTTACACTGGCTAACGTGTGGACAATATTTGCAGCGCCTCTCTTTTGTGTGAATTTTCCGACCAGTTTTCGTGGTGAAATTTTGCCTGCAAATTTTGCACTTGAGAAATTCGCAGCACTGACGCTCATGTTCAATGCAAAGACCCCTGCACTCGAAATTCTGCTTGCAGTTGCGGCAAGAAGTACGGATTCTTGCAAAATGAGCTTTATCAGAATAATACAATTGCTGACAATATTTACATTTGGTCCGGGGGTATAATCCGGTCCGGGGGTATAATCCGGTCCGGGTAATGGATAAAACGGAAGGATTTTCTCGATTTATTTCTTCAATATTTCTATCTTCAGAGCAAATTTTCGTCCCTGAGCAGTCGTGTTGCAAAAATTGGTTGTAGCACCGACTAATCTGGGAACATCGTTTGCAGCACCTCTGTTTAATGTGTATAAGAAGAGACTTTTTATCTCTGGAATTTTGACCGCAAGTTTTGCAACAGAGAAATTTGCAGCACTGGGCTTCGTGTTTTCGGCAAAGACCTCTGCAGTCAAACTTCTGCCGGCAATTCTTGCAAGACTTGTATTGTAAAAGCCCAAAATGACATTTTTCTGACTTGTAAAATTGATGGCAAAGTTTGCAGGCAACTCTTTCGTGCACATTTTTCTCAGTTTCCCCGCTCAATATTTGCATCTCGCAATTCGACAATGATTTGTGAGTTTCTGCCAAACCAGCACACGCTATAAGCACACCGCATTCTGGGCAGAGCTGAGAAGTTGAGTGTTTTTTGAAAATTTTTCCATTGATCGACCAAAATTTAAGGCAGTATTCACATTGGCGCTTGGCTCTAATTTTCACTTTAGTTTGACAGAAGAAATTTTCAAAGTCAGTCTTTGGATTCGTGGCGTTTTCAACTTCACTCCTGGTCTGCTGTGGCACAACAGGATCTTCCTGCTTAAATGTAACTTCCAATATATCAAGAGCAGATTCGGTTCCGCTTATTTGCGCATCTTCATTTTCAGCTGATGGTAATTCCGAGCAATCTGTAAAAACAATAAATTTTCATTCTTTAACGTTAATTTCTTTTTAATTATTTGTGATAAAATTTGCGTAATTTTTAATTAAATTTGATATTAAAAATAATAAATTTGAAACCTCAGGAAAACTAACAAGTTATAAAAAAAATATGACCCTGTTCAATTTTTGTTTTTGAGCTTTTTAATTTGTTTCCAAAGTGCAATAATTGTGTAAGTGGCCGCTAAAATTTGTTTGCTTAAATATTATTTTATTTGCAAATTTATTAACTCACAATTTGTCCAAATTTCGTCACTCTGTTGGGAACTAAATTGGAGGTCAATCCTCTCCGATATTGAAAGCTGCTCTCCTGTGTCCTGCAAATCAATTACACGAGATGCAATTTAAAATTAACAATCATTATAAACTTAAAAAGAAAATATAATTTATGGAATTTATTAATTAAGTCCATCAAATTTATACTAATTAGTAAATAAATTGGAAAGGCTACAATTATAACTTTTGAAATTATATTTAAAAATTTTAATTCAAAAGAAATTAATTTGTACTACGAAAAACTAAATTATTACTAATTCATTTATTAAATTTTATCAGTATAAATTAATAATCTGTTTCACTTGGTCGGTACTTACATTTGTGAGGCTCATTCTGGACTACTTTTGTGTATAACTGAAATTACGGCCGAGTACGGTGTCCTTGCGTCAGTCTTTGGACAAAAGAAAAATAAATCAAATTATAAAAAATGTTAATTAGAAACATTTACGAATAACAGAGAGCGAAAATGACAAACTGCATGACTGTCTTGTATACATAGAGGAATGCACCAGAGGAGTCGAAAGGGTCACATTCAGGGTCTTGCAACGTTCTTTTTTTATCTCAAGCGTCACGTGGTACCGCTGGAAGAAATCTCTCGTTGCCATTGAAACCAGTCAAACCACCTTGCCTTTAATTGTTGCAATCGAGTGACTACAAAGTATGTAAACTGCATATATAGCAGCGCACGCAATCAGCAATTTATTGCCGCTGCAACTTTCTTGCTGCGCAAAGATCAGCGCAAAATCAGCAATTTAATTATGAAATTACAACTTCTCTTACAAAAAATAAAAAAATAATAATAATATAGAATATTAAAAACTCCTGATTTCTAGTATATTATCTTGTCAATAAATTAAATCAGGAGATAATTTTACAATTATAAATTTAAATTAATAATCTGCTTGGACCATGCGATAAAAGATAAAACTAATTTAACTGGACTGGAGACAACTTCTGACAAAGAAGTTTTATTAAATTAGCTTTTTATTGATCTTGATATTCGTGGTCACCTTTTCTTAATTGGGTCGCAAGCAAAATTAATGTGAGAACAGAATCATTCAAAATAATGTTAATTTAATTATTTTTACGCATGATTTTTGCATTTTCATCTTGCCTTAAATTTGATGAGATTTTGCGACTTTAATCGTTTTGTAGCAAATTTATCAAATTAACATAAAGGAAAATCTAAAGTTAAGTGTAAATAATTTCTCTCCTTTTGCTTACAGAGCAATGTAAACAACGACCAGATTGACTTCAAGGGAGGCTTCCAGTCGAATCTAGAAAAGGTAAGTGCTGAATAATTTAATTTTTTAAAGAATCTTATCACGGGAAAAGTTATTATGTAAATTTTTAATTTTTTTTTAGTTCTTGGGATAATTTGAATTTAAATGCAATCATGAAATTCCTCAAGAGCATTTTTCACACTTACTTACAAAACATATTATAAAAGACTTTCAGCTGCATAAAAAGAATTAAGATTGCAATATAAGTAAAAAAAACATGATTTTTTTACGATAGGTAAATTGCAATCCGAAATATATATAAAACGAAAATAAAATACACGTATAACTTCAAGTTGAGAAATTAAACCAAAATATAGGAAATAATTAAACTACGCAAGTAAAATTTGTTTTCTGTCCATCGCATTTCTAAAACTTATTTAATTAACTTTTATTTCCAAAGCTGGTTGCATAAATTCAGGCGCTCGCCGGTGTCTTTCCTCGCACACATGGCATGGCATGAGTGAAATGATGAATAAAATCTAAAATCACACGCAAAATAAAAGGAAAAGGTTTTCGGGAGCGATTTATTTGTGTATTTCATAATTTTAATTAAATCATATTCCTCATAACAATGGAGAAGATACTTTTTTTTGTTCAAAATCTTCAAATAATATTCCAAACCTGGCTGCTTGAGAATTTTTTCATGAGCCCCATGCCGAAAAGGCAACGTCGCGTCTCAGCTTGCAGGAAAAAACTTGCCAAAACTCGCTGCAAGCGCAACAAAATTGTTGCGCGTTGCCAAAGGGAAGAGCGGCAGGAATCGCCAGACCAGAGGATGAGATGCACCGACAGGCGCAGACAAGTTTTGTCACGATTTCCTCTCCTATTTTTCGGATTTTTCTCCTTTCGCTCAACGAATCTTCTCCCTCCAACGGCGTCGCCAACCACGCGCAGGGTGTTTTTGGTCTGGAATTTTCTTCCTTTCGACTCTTGAGCAGATTTTAAACTTTAGTACTTTAGTAGTGCGTCGCCTGAGCTGAAGCGAGGGACAATCGTCTCGTCTCCATTAGTGCAAAAACGCGGGAAGCCAAGCGTCGTCGTCCTCCATGACTTCACCTGTGAAAATAGAGCGTAATTTGCGAGCTCCTGCCGCCCCAACACTTGCAAAATTTACTGCAGTACGTATATTAAATGCTTTTATTTCCAAACGCACATTTTTCCGGAATGCTCATGCACATTTTTGGTCTTAATTTGTAGGAGCACATTGACCACATCAAGATTGTGGAAGACGTGCTGAAAATGGACCAAGAGAAAACCGAAAAGGAGAGGCGCTTCCTGCGTTCACTCAGCCCTGCCCAAAGGAAAATGAGAACCATCGAGGGAGCTGCGTTTGCTGACCACCCCGAGCACTGCTCCTTCCTGGTTGGCAGCGAGAAAGAGGTTTTTGCTTTACATTTCTTTTAATTTAAAATCTGACAATTTTTTCAATTTAGAAAACTGTCATTCACGCCAGCAAACTTGACTTGCGTGCAGGCAGTGATTACTTCCAAGTCATGCTTCGAAGTGAGTTTGCTCCACGAGATGGAGAGCACTACAGAATCACCAACATCAAGCCATCCATCTTCAAGCTCATCATGGAGTAAGTTTAATAGTCTATTTTGTTTATTTGAGTGTTAATAAATCTCCTTTGTGTTTCTATTCAAAGGTACATCCATGTGTGCCAAATTCTGACACCCGTGGACTTGAAGAAGGCTGCTCTGTTGTCTTGTGCAGCTGATGAGTTCCTAATTGAGGGTTTAGGAAGACTGGCCCAAAACTTGGTGTACGAACACTTGACAGCCAAGAAAGTGTGGACCTACTTTCGACTTTGGCACAAACACAGATTTGTCATGGCAGCATGCAAACAGGTATTAGAGTTTTAATTGAAATGTATACATTTTTCTAAAACTACTAATCATTCTCAGTTCTTGGAAGACAATACTACTGCGTGCTTGGAAGATGATTCATTTCTCAGCATGAACCAATCTGCAGATCGCCTGGTGGAGTTCCTGGCTTTGGATAAAATGAACATCCAGTCCGAGGCGCATCTCGTAGCTGCCTTTGCAAAACTTGCTTCCAAAAGGGGTGATTTGGTAAGGACAAATTAATGCTGGATTTTTAAATCATTTTATTTTTTTTAAATTTCTGTATAGAAACTCTTGAAGAAAGTCCTTCCTCATCTCCGGCTGCTGCTTTTGAAGCCGGAAGATCTTGCCAAAATCGCCGATTGGCTGACAGAAGAGGAAGCTGTTTTCTTAGCTTCTCAACACAACCCTTTGCTGATGACAAAAAGCTACCCACAACCAGATTCCATCAACATGTCCCGAGAAGAGAGGGAAGGGAGCGCTGCTGCCACTGCTGCTGTCCTTGTGCTGGATCCTCCTACTTTCGATCCAATCTTCCCGCTACGAGTTTGCAAGATTGAGAAAATTTAGCTTTTTGCTTCTGAGCAATGCAAAAGTATATAACATACTTTAACTCATTGATTTGATATAGGCTCAAAAAATGGCCAAGGAAAATGAAAGTTCTTCACATAATAGTGTGCCATTGTAGCACTTGGAAATTTGAATTATCACTTACATGTTTATTTGTAAGGATTTATCTTTTTGTGCAGCTTATGCGATTATTATATTATTTTCACAAAATGACATCGCATGACTGTTAGTTAAGCAGCAACTCCACAATCAAATTGCACTTGAATTACAATAGAATCGCACATTCTTAAAAATGTGAAAAGATAATTAGGAGCAAAATTATAAAAGGGAGTAATCAAAAATTAGAAACTGTCCAGAAGATAAATTATTCCTGGTATTACTCATAAAAATGTTGAAATGCTCCTGTGGACAATTTGCTCATCGAATATTTTTTAGAATAATTTATCAATTGATACAAAATGATCCTTACTGTATTTTTTAGGCAACTCATCTTTTTCTATGGTTAATCAATTTATTACCTGTAAATTGCAAAACGAAAGGTCAACGAAAAGTTGCTTCTGATACAAGAACTTTTTTTATGTTGATTGATGTTTCTCCAGACAAGATGTTACATGGTTCTCCTCGGTGGGCCAATTTTGAATGTTCCTCAAGACATACTGGCCAGGCTAAATTTCCATATCTAAAGTTTCAAATTTGTACTGAACTGCAGAATAGTTAAAAGGATTTAATTTTTTTCATTTGCATGTCTGAAGCTTCATAAAAATTAGTAATTTAAAGCAAATGAAGCCTCTGAAACAGTCGAATCTACGAAATACCTACAATTTTTGTGGCCATGAAATGTTTTAAACATTTGTACTATTTTTAGTTGTGTGGGTTCAGCCATGAAAAGTTACAACAATAACAATATTGTGTTTGATCTTAAACTGCAATTTCTTAATAAAAGCAAGTGAATTAAAAGATAATGTATTCTCAATTACTATCTTTCAGATATTCCAGTGCATTAATTATGCGAATCGTTGCTTATAAGCATAATCGTGGTTAAAACCTGTTAGATTTATTGAAAATAAAACTAATTGAATTTATAAGTTAATTTTTTCATAACATTTGAACTCTCTGGTCGGGAATTCGACATGAGCTTGATTCAGCAAAAGCCTCTATGTTTTTTCTTTTTAGCAAAGATTTGCGTTTTAAGAGTTGGCGATAATTTTGTTCATAGTCAAGTGGGATATTTTTTATGTGTGAAGATGACAGATCGGAGTATATCATTATAAATTAAGAGGAAGCGAGAAACTAAAAATTTGAATTAGCCTAATTTTTGTGCGATTTTAATAAAAAATTGTCCTTCCTTTGTTCATATTTAATATGAACAAAATTCACGCGGCTTAATAACTTCCTTAGAAAATCTCGCACGAGAATCAATATAATTAATATTAATTGAATTAAGTAAAATATATTAAGATTTAAATTACCGACAAAAATCCAAAAGGATGTCGTGCGGGTAACTTTTCATAGCAGAGGGAAAGTTCGTCAAGGCGCGACCGACCAGCAGTGTCTGCTTTTATGCCGGCCGTCCCTACTTGCACGTGATTAAATTAAACTCTTCCCCAAGTGGCTCAAAATATATTATACCGTTGAACAATACAAGAGCTGCTGCAACAAAGTTACTAAAAATTGGCCTCCAACTTGTTTACTCTCGGTACCTCTCTTTGCACTTCAACTTACACTGTATTTTGAAAAATAATTATAGTACATTAAAAAAAAATATATAATTTTATTTACAAATTAGCTTCCGCTTTCCCAATATAATATAAACGCAGAAAATAATTTAATGGGCTTAAATAGTTAAATGCCTTGTCACAGCTGCGTCGGCAAGAGTGATGCGTAGAGCGTAGAGCGCCTGAATCTACGCAACAATCAAAGACTGTGGCTGCATAATCAATGAGATCCTTTGATCCGAGAGGCTGCGTCGCATTTCTGATGTGGGGTGCTTTGTGTTTATTTTTTTGCCTCGGGTCACGCAGGGTTTTAAAAGATCGGAGGTGTTTTTTTTTAAAAGTAATTTTTAATTTGAAATTATAATTAAATCCCTGAATTTTTTATGACGGGCGTTTTATTGTTAGAAGAAAGACATAAGCTCATGTCCACTTTTTTTAATATCAAAATATTTTTCATTTGAATTATTGATAAGATGAAATAATAATTATGAACTATATAATGATATATATCAGCAAATTTTAAACTTTTTTTCAACTGACAATTATAGGAAAGTAAAAGTAATAATTTATTAGATTTAATTTAGATCAATTAGATTTTTAACAGTAATACAGTTTTATTGCTGTCAAATATGTACAAATTCTATTGATGTTTGCGGATGCCGAGGGCCATGAGTTTGGGAGCGATGGTCGTTGGTTCCTCGGAGGACACAACGTTCCACAGCGCGTCCAGAGCGGCGGCGGCGGCATCAATGACGGCGGTGAAGGCGGTCCAAAGCTTGGTGCCTTCATTCGACCAAGTCTGACCGATCCGCAAAACGTCACTAGTGATCTTCTGGACGATTTCGATGGGCTGATAATTCAGATTATAAAAAAATTAGCACCCTGAACTAAAATTTAAGCTCACCTCTCCGATAGTGAGGTAAATGATCGTGTCGAAGATGTTGTTGAACTCGGCGGTGATGCGGCTGACGATGGTGCTTGCATCAGCCTTAAAAATTCAATTTGAAAGTTTTTTTAAATTTTATTTTAAAATTAATGGAGAAATCTAACTTGAGCTAATTCAGGACTACACATTATACTTAAACTTATAAAATATAAATATATTTTTTTAAATTATTTAACACAAATAAAACCAAAATTAAGAAAAAAAAATTAAAATTCAATTATTAAAACAATTTTATCTTTTAAATTTAATTACACTAATACCACAAAATTTAAATTATTGTTTTATAAATATGATTTTCTAAAAAAATCTTATTCTTATTGGTATTTTTGTTTTACCTCCAATTTCTTGAAAGCTTCATCCAGATCCAAAATGTGTCTTGCCATTTGGACAAGGTTGAAGTTTCCCAGGTCGGACAAAATCTGTCCAGTGAGGACGAGAATGTTGTCCAAATCAACAACAATGCCTACGAAGACAGCCTCAACATTGGCCAGAGACTGGTTAATGGCCGCTTCGGCAGCAAGAAGTTCCTCGGTGCTGATCTAATTAAATTATACTTTGGAGGGGGAGAAAATCGAAAGGATCAATTTCTTACGCCAATGTCCTGCAGCTGCTTTATAATGTCCCTGATCTGAACAGCCGTGTCCACAGTGAGGACAACGAGCGACCGGTTGATTTGGTCCTTCAGAGCAACAATGGAGTCCTGATTTTTTTTTTAAATTTCATCAAAAAAAGGTTGAAATCGAAAATTAAAAAATCTATATACCTGGAGGGCATTTACAGCCTTGATGGCCGCGTTGATGTCGGCGATGAGGCCCTTGTCCTCGGTGACCTGAGGTTGCACCGCCACCTGGGCGGGCAGGGCCATCACCTGGGCAGCGCAGAAGGCGGCCAAAAAGGCGCACAGGACTTTGCAGGCCATCGTGAGTTTGTGAAAAGTGAGGCTTATCTCGGAACTGCCGTCCTAATATATACGCAGACCGGTGCAATTTTCCCATTTTATCGCGCTCTTCAGATAGAGGCTCTTCAAAATCAGTTGTTGGAGTGGACTTTTGATTTTTACTTTCAATTGGCCGGTCTTATCATCAGTGTTGCAACTATTCATGTACATCAGCTCTGGATCGTCGTTCATTAGGCACGTGAACCTTGCAAAGTCCTCGGTAAACTTCAGCGTGGGTTTTTTTCTCCGTTGAATTTTTCTTTTATCTCGACGGAACATTTTCTTGTCATGTGCGCACATCACTCTCCATCAGCTTAAGTGAATCGCAGTTTCCGGTATATAAACTGAAATTAATAATTCTTCAGTTACTAAATTTTAGTCTTAATATAAAATTACTCTTATTGTTTGATCATTCTTTTTTATACGTATGCTGAGTTGTGAGTCCAGAGCCGCGGCCTTTTTTGACGTACACACTTTTTTTCTACAGTTAAATTTTTCCGTCAAGACTTGCGTTCAATATTATAAATAATGCAAAATAATAATGAATTGCAATTATAAATTCAACCTAAATCATTGGTAAAATAAATTAAAACATAAATAATTTAATACAATTCATTTTATTGTATTTTTCCAAAAAAATTTAAAAAAAAAACGCCTTAATTTAGGAGTTTAATTAAAATTTTGATTTTTCCGAAAGCAAAAATATTTTTTCTCCTGGCAGATAATTCATTTTTTATTTAAAGTTCAAGTTTTGGCTATAAAAGTCTGATCACAAAAATTGTTTTTCTTGATCTCTCCACGTAAAATTCGCATTAAAAATAAACCAACTTTCTTAAGTTAATTAGAACGAAACCTTGCACGCAATGAAACAAAAAATAGTTGATTTGAAATTGAAATAAAAAGCCAGATGAATATCGCAACATACGGACAGAGCTCGTCTGGATCTGACAGCAGTGTCCGCTTTTTATGCCCGGCCGCCCCTTTATGCTCGCGCTTGATTTTAATTAAACGCATGAAATAAGTTCCCCCACGTTGAATTTTGTGCGCACAATATGTATATTCTCGCTTCGCAATCGATTTTTTTCCATTTTATTAAACCTCCATCACAACGTGCAATCAACTTTTAATCTAGAAAACGCAAATGAGAAAATTGTAAAGTCTTCACATATCAGGAATTTTTAGCTATCTAAATTCTATTGTTAAATTTTTTATTAATTCATTAATAAAGCTTTGAACATGCTTTTTAAATATTTCCAAAAATTAATTTACATATTTATTTGAAAATTAATAACATTAATAATAGTTATTATTAAATTAATTAGAAATGTCTTGTAATTTTAAAGAATATTAAAATTAATTAAATTAACTTTTATATTACAAAATTTATACACTCAAAATTATAAACGCTTATTAAAACCAAAAAAATTTGTACAAAATTTAGTGTCGGCGCCGCCTGTGCGACTCCAGTTTGCGCTCCTTTTTAAAAACTTTGTTGCATTCGCCGCACTGAAATTCCTTCGATCGACGCTCAAAACGGCACATGTCCAGGTGATGGGTCAAAAGGGTGTGGCAAGGCTGCGCAAATCCGCAACGAGGGCAGTCACTTTTCAAGGTGTGACATTCAAAGGTTTTGATGGAATTGCACAAAACTTGACAAAACTGGCACTGCATTTTTGGTTCTGTTTCTTGTGCAGAAGTTTCCGCTTCTTTTTCATCCTCAGCATCTTGAACTTCTTTTTCAGGTTCTTTGAAATTTTCCATGGATTCGTCACCTGAAGCTGAACATTTGTGCTTTTTAAAGAGGCTGTTACACTGGCTAACGTGCGGACAATATTTGCAGCGCCTCTCTTTTGTGTGAATTTTCCGACCAGTCTTCGTGGTGAAACTTTTACTGCAAATTTTGCACCTGAGAAATTCGCAGCACTGACGCGCATGTTCAATGCAAAGACCCTTGCACTCAAAACTCTGCTTGCAGTTGCGGCAGGTGCGGTCATATGTTGCTCTAAAATGAGCTGTTTCTGATTTATAAAATTGTCGACAATTTTTACATTTTTGCCGTGATTCTTCAATGGAACCCTCAGAGGGTATTGGCTGATTTTCTGGGTTTGTTTCCAAAGTTTTTGGAGGGCTTTTATCTTTTAATGTATTTTCACCACTTTTTTCCCTACAATTTTTCTGCAAATCTTTAGTTGTCACTGTACAGTCATGTGTCTTGAACTGATTGTAGCAATGACTCACATGGGGACATCGTTTACAGCACCTCTGTTTAGTGTGTATTTTTAAACTATTTGTCACTGTAAAAATGCTACCACACAATTTGCAACAAAGAAAGTCGCAGCACTGAGCTTCGTGTTTGCGGCAAAGACCTCTGCACTTGAAACTTTGTCTGCAATTCCGGCAAGACTTATTATTAAACCTTAAATGATATCGTTTTGACGAGTAAAATTGATGGCAATGTGGGCAAGAAAATTGTCCTTGGGAGATCTCTTGCGATTCTGCTGTCAATTTTTGTGCCTTGCAATTTGATGATGTGTGATTTCTTGCCGAACCAGAACAAGCCAGCATCACACCACATTTTAGGCATGGCCGAGCCGTGATGTGTTTCTTGAAAGAGTGTCTTATGGGCTGCAGAAATTGCAAGCATGAATCGCATCGCCACTTTTTTTTAATTACTTTTACGTTCTTAGTTTCACTTTCAAAGTGTGCTCTTGTCTGTAATTTTGGTTTCGATTGGCAGTTGAAAGTGTCAGCACACTTTGTTATATCCGTTGATAACACTTCACTCATGGGCTGCTGTGATATAATGGGATCCTCTTGTTTAATCGGGTAAACCAACTCATCGGAATCAGATTTTGTTCCGCACATTATTTCTTCTTCACTTTCAGTTGAGGGAAACTCTGAGGAGTCTGAAAAATATACATTTCTTTGTTTTATTATGTTCGTTTCATTCTCTTTCTTAGGCTCGTACAGAATAATTAAAATAATTTATTATTTATTTATTATTTATTTATTAAACCCATCTGGGTACAACTTTTAATACATCTTTTCAGATCTAACTTTAAAGTAATCAAATTGCACTTATATTTCTTTGTGGCGTAATTAAAATAATCTCTTTCTCATTATTTATGATTGGAAAATTAATATAATTTAATTAAAACCGGGGAAATTTAATAAATTTTAGTACTCACCAAATCTCCCAATTTCGTCATTTGCATGATAGCTGAATTTGAGTTCAATCCTATCGGATGTTGAAAGTTGCTCTCCGGGATCCTACAAATAAGTTGAAATTTAATTTTTTTATGTCAATATCTATCAAAATGGCAAAAATTGACCAATCCATAAGTTAAGGCCGAATAACAAGAGATATGGAATTTCGTTGCGCTTGAATTATTTTAATTCTTATTTTATTTTAATAGTGGTTTGGAGGTTGAAAATTTATGTAATATGCAACCCCCCAGAAAAAAACGCAAAGTAAATGGGTGAAGTATTCAATTTTTGAATTTCAAAAATAACGATTTTGGTTACTTACTAATCAATTAATGTTTTTTCTAACTAGAAAAACTTGAAAGTGCAAAGTTTTTTCAAAGATTTGCAATCTTTAATTTTAAAAAATTATTATGAGTTGCAAAGTAGTAAAAACGACATATTATTATAATAAAAATAAAAATAGCTCTGAATTGCGTAAAGCTTCTTAAATAATGTCATCCTATAAATTAAACATGATTCACTTAATTTTAATTTCATATTCAGGTAATAAATCTGGATCAAGTGTGAAACTGTAATACTTTGTTATTAAAATTTTAATCGCTGCTTAATTTTTGAACCCATTCAAACCTTCATCCCCTGTTTAAATTTTGTGCATAGTTAAATTTGATCAAAAATCGAGTGTTAATTCTTGCATCCTACGTGAAATATTAAAATCTTCAGCAGGTTAAGAAATATGCTAAAAAATATGCAATAGAATTGCAGCGCTTGGATTTTTCAAGCAAGGATTTGGTAAAGTTTTTAAATAAGTTTGTAATTTAAAATTTTACAAAAGTATTCGACTCTATAATAAAAAAAAAAAAAAATCAAAATTTTCAGCTCTTCACGAGTGAAATGAATTTATTTTATTAATTTTTTTACAGAAATATCCAATTTCAGATCAAAATTAATTTTTTTGCCACAGTGAAAATTCAAGCTTTTTTTCTGATTGAAATTAATCACTTCCCTTTTGATCTTTTAGATATATTATTCAATTTTCTCTATAAAACTGTTTATTTATATTAAATTATTGGTACTTACATTGAGAAGGCTCATTTTGAAATTTGATGCAATGAAAGCAGAACAGCAAACACCTCTACACCTTCGAAGAGCTCAAAGAACAATGACTATGCGCTGGGCAGCAGCAAACGCGGCAGCTGCCCCCGCCGTGAAAAAAGGCTCATTAGGGGTGGAACTACGAATAATTTATAGGTGTGGGCTAGATTTTAGATAGAATAATTATGCAATTTACCTTTCGTTCTGCATCCCTTCCATTTAGAACTATTTAATTTAAATAATACTATGAACTCAATTAATTGTTTATTTTATTGCAAACAAACGGATAAACGAAATTAAGTATTTTTAATTAAATTCTAATTTAAGATGAAGAAAAAAAATCGGTGTGAGAGAAAGCAATGGCGAAATGACTTTTGTATTTTAATAAAAATTTTGTATGCGCCTTTTCTCCACTTGATGTGTTGCAAGAAATAATATGAGGGAGTTTAGAGAAAGAGCACTAAAATTTAGATATTAATTAATTTTTATTTATTTAAAATGCAATTTGAATAATACTTATTCACTAAACATGCAGATGAAAAATATTTAAATTAATAAGACTAATTTTTTATTTTAAGCAAATAACGTATTTATTTAAATTATTTCATTAAAGTGGCTTTCAAATAATATTACACCTGCTAGAGTTGTTCGAGTTAAAACTACTTCACAATGCACAATCCTTCCTTTGTTTACAACAATTTTGCTCTAATTGAAATTGTAATTAATTTTATTTTTATTCAAATTTTTATTACAGTAAATTTTAATAAGGCAGGGAATTAATATTAGTAAAATAAACTAAACTCTTTAGTAATAATTTTAAAATCATTAATCCAAAATGCAGTTTTAAGAATTCAATTCAGAAAAAAAACTTACTATAAGAGTGGTGTAATATCATGAAATTCAAAACAATTTTGTTTTTAATATACGTTTTATTTATTTATTCGCCGTATATTGGTTAAATTTTCATAATAATACAATAAAAACAAAAAATTGTAAAAGTAAAATTAGCGTCGGTCCCGATTTTGCTCGCGTTTTATTTTCTATACTTTTTCACATTCACTAAACTGATTTCTTTGACTCTGCTTGCTCAAATTTCAGTTCAATTCATTCCAAAACGGCACAAGTCCAGGTGATGGGCCAAAAGGGTGTTGCACGGCTGCGCAAATCCGCATCGAGGGCAGTTTGTTTTTAAAGTGTGACACTCAAAAATTTCGTTTGATTTGCATAAAAGTTCGCAAAACTGGCACTGCATTTTTGGTTCCTTTTCTAGCGCAGGAGTTGGATCTTTTTCTTCATCAGCATCAAAGACAATAATTTCTTTTTCAGGTTCTTTGCTATTTCCCGTCATTTTGTCACCTGATTCTGAACATTTGTGCTTTTTAAAGAGGTTGTTACACTGGCTAACGTGTGGACAATATTTGCAGCGCCTCTCTTTTGTGTGATTTTTCTGGCTGCTTTCCGTGGTGAAAAATTTGCTGCAAATCTTACACTTGAGAAATTCGCAGCAATTTTCCTCGTGTTCAATGCAAAGACCTTTGCACTCGAATCTCTGCTTGCACTTGCGGCATGTTCGGGAATTTTTTATTCTGAAATGAGCTTTTTCTGAGTAGTAAAATTGCTGACAATTTTCACATATCGACCATTTTACATTGACGCAATCCTTAGGTGGTTTTGAAGGCTTATCTTGAATTTTTCCAAAACCTTCAGTACTCGTTTCCGTGCAATTTTTCAGCAAATCTTGCGTTATCACTGAACAGTCATGTTTCATGAATTGAATGTTGCAATTACTCACATGGGAACATCGTTTACAGCACCTCTGTTTAGTGTGTGTTTTTAAATAAGCTTTACGATTGAAACTTTTGCCACACGATTTGCAACAAAGAAATTCGCAGCACCGAGCTTCGTGTTTGCGGCAAAGACCTCGGCACTTAAACCTCTGCCGGCAATTCAGACAAGATTTGGAATCTTTCCTAAGAAAATGACATATTTTTGAAGAGTAAAATTGATGACAATGTTGGCAAGAAAACTTTCCTTTTACTTTCTTTTGCTTTTTCATTTTAGTTTTGCTTTTGCTATGCTCTGATTTTGAATTTGATTGGCAGTTTAAAATTTCCGCGCACTTTGTTTTTGTTTTAAGTGCCAATGGCACTTCACTCGTAGACTCTTCCTGTTCTCTTCCATGGCTCATTAATGCTTCATCATTATCTTCCGAGGATGACATGGAAGAGTCTGGAAAATTATTTTAAATTTATTGTTTATTATTCTGAATGAATTTTTTTATAAAATTAAATTTTAGGGCGCTTAAAATTTATTTTCGATCTCGAAAAAAAAATTTCTGCTAGTTTATTTTATTTTTTACGAATTATATATATTTTTAAATGTCAAGTTATTATGTGAAACTAATTTTTTATTTTTTAATTGAGACGCTTCAAAAATGGTATTAAAATGATAATTTAATCAATTTCAGCACTCACCGATTCTTTCACTTTTTACACTCGCAGAATGGCTGAAGTTGAGTTCAACGGGTTCAACCCTATCGGATGTTGAAGGTTGCTCTCGTAAATCCTACAAATCACATCAAATATTGACTTTAATAAAAATTTTATGTTATTTAACGTTTTTAAATGGCTTTTAAGGAGCGGAGTTGCTTTTCATTCAATGATTTTAATCAAAAACGCATTTTTAATTATCTTTTTATATATTAGAAAGGAAATCTTATCACCGGATTTCAGTAACAAAGTTAATTTTTAGCTTTAGTATAAAAAAACTCCGGCTTTACTTCTCTTCAAAAAATAATTATCTATTAATTTAAAAAGAAGACACGCTCGTGCACGTTATTTTTTTGTAGTTTGTAATACTTACATCGTGAAGACTACTCATTTTGGACTTTGATATGCAGTGAAAGCAAAGCAGCAAATGTTGTCGCACCCAGGAAGAGCTCAACTCAAATAACTATGACACCAGTACTGCGCTGAAGTGCTACCCCCTTCTTTGATAGAAAATTGATTATAGGGGTGGAAATACAAATAGCTTCGGCGTGTGGGCTGTGGGCTTACATCATATGCAAATTCCACTTCCCTTTAGTAAGTTCTGCTTTCCCCCTCCCCCCCATTGAGAACTCTGGAATTAGAATCTGATACTTTTAATTGATTTTGAAGAAGAATATCACATCGAGAGGGTTGATTTAAATTTGCAGTTGGATTCAAATTGAAATCACCCCTTTTTATTGATATAAGTAAAAAAATCTTGCTGTGCTTTTATTTTATTTCAAACTATGACAGATAATTGACAGCTGCCATGCATGTCTTTGAAAACTGAAATTATAAGGGGGTGAGATATAATTAGGCAGTCCCAAGCGTGGACTACGACTTAGAAAAATTCCCCTACCTGTATTTAAAATTTGTGAGTGCTCTTTGCATCATCAAACCGAAAATTACTACTTTTTAAGGTCGATTATTATGATTATATTTTCTCTCCTTATGTCTGAAATATTGAAAATTAAAACCCAATTGCTATGATTTTGCTTTTATTTTGCAGATGATACACCATAAACGTTAAATTATAATTTAAAAAAAAAAAATCAATTGATAAAATAATAAAAAAATTACAAGGCTTATAGGTAGATTATTTTCCAAAATAAGATACTATGCATTTACAGTTTTAACAAACTTTTTTATTGACTTCAATTGAAACAGAAAATAACAATGTTAAAATCAAAATAAACACAAATATTAATTTACAAAATTATTACCATTCTAGTGGCTTATAAAGTACACTAAATTACACCATATTAAGCCTGCTAGTTGTGGAAATTAAAACTGCTGTAAAATTCACAATTTTATTTTTTGTCATTAATTCTATTCTAACAATAAGTACAATAAAATTTGTAATTTTATTTAATTTTTTTTTAGATTAAATTGTTTATTTTTAATTCCTCCTTTTATTGTATTAATTAAAACATTATTCTGAACACAATTTCTTTCTCATTATTAAGCTACAGTCACACAAATTAATTACAATAAAAAAATTCATCCATTGTCTCAAAACTCTAATTTATAGATAATGTTTATTATTAAACACCAAGATATTACATTCATGGTCAATTTGGTAAATTTTTAAAAGTGGCAGCTCATTTTCTTTCCTGAGCAACTTTTAATATCACATTCAATCACATCGGGTACAATCTTGGCAAAATTCACAGGTACAATCATTTTGTGCGTTGGAGGGAAAATTATTACTCTCACAAAATCCGATAAGGTGTTGTCATCAATTAATATCTTTTACAAGACGACACTATTTTTTTTTACGAACACTTTTTTTAATCATCAATCGAAACGACAGGGATATGTTCTTTCTTAACAAATAATCTGTTGATAATATTCATCTCTGCCGTTTCTGTAATTTTCTTTTCCATCATTCCGAAAATGGTCTTCGCGTCCTCCAAAATACTCGAACGCTGCACGTGCCGGCGCCGCATATGCGACTCGAGTTTGTTTCTCTTTGGGAAAACCTTTTCGCACTCGCCGCACTGAAATTTTTCCGACTCTCCTTGCTCGAAACGACACACGTTCAAGTGATGGGCCAAAAGGGTGTTGCACGGTTGGGCAAATCCGCATCGGGGACAGTCGATCTTCCTGGTGTGACATTCAAACTCTTCCGCCGAGTTGCACAAATGATTGCAAAAGGCGCAATTTTTGATCAGCAAGGGGTTCACGACGGGTTCTTCCGCCAAAACTGGCAAATTTTCTTCCTCTGTAATTTTTTCTTCGTCACTTTCCTCACATTCGTGCCCATTGTACAGATTGAAACAGCAACTGATGTGATCGCAATTCGAACAGTTCCTCTCTTTGGCGTGCGTTTCCAGTCTTGATTTTGTCACGCAAAATAGGCCGCAAAAATTGCAAATGAAAACTTTGCAGCACTTGAGACGTTGATGTTCAAGACATTGGCCCCGACATGCAAATCTCACTTTGCATTTGTAACAGGTCGACGCCGTTCCGAAATGGCTTTTTGCAGACGAGTAAAAATCGCCGCATTTGTCGCATTCGTTCCATTTTACTGCGATCTTGTCTCTTTTAATTTCTTTATGCTCTTTACCCTGGCACTGGAGAATGTGTTTCGCGGCTTTTCCTCCGCACGCCAATTTCAAACCGCACTTTTTGCACTTTCGGAAGGTTTTGTGCAATTTGATGGAATTCGAACTGAGAAATCGCGAGCACAAATTGCACTTCCAATTCGGCCTGGCCATTTTTGGTGGTTACTCGATTTTAAGAAAATTTTTGTTTGCAAGGCTGGCAGAGATTCGGTGAAATCTGTAACATAAAAAAAAAAATACCAAATGAATTTTGTTACGAATTTTAATTTAACTTAAATAAAAATTTGATTGGACCAAATTAATATTAAATTTAAACCGATTGGTTTTAAGTGGATGAATTCAGCTATAAAAGAGAGAGAAAAAACTTGTTCTCTGAAATAAATGTCAAATTTGTAGAAACTTTCAATATTTCAATAAGCTCCCTCAAAACAGAATTAGATTTCTGTTCAAAAGTAAATTATTATTCTATTAAAACCCATTTTAAACATTCATCTAGAAATAAATCCAGAGCAATTGTGAAAAAATCTTAATTTTTGGGGAGAACGGTTGGCGCGATTAGATTGTTTTTAATTACTTCAATCTAAAAACAACTTCAAAATCCCAGATAAGATGATTTTTTTCCTTATAATTCTTAAATTCTCGATTAAAAACGCCTATGAGCAGCTCTTTGTGAACGGGGCATAGTTTGTCCACGTTAACTGATCGAATTGAAATTCTAGTATGTTATAAACCATATCAAGAGGTTTCCAAAAATATATAGTTTTGCCCCGATATCTCGAAATTTGCGGGTTTTACGGGACGTTCAAATTTGGATTTTGAAAACCTTTAAAAAGCTGTATCTCGGCTTTCCGTGGTCGCACAAAGAAAATCAGGATGGTTTTGGAATTGTATTGTTGCCCTCTACAACTTTTCTTTGAGACGCAAAATCGTAGGTCACAGGTCAAGGTCACTTCTGGTGACCTCGTGACCTTTGACCTCAATTTTGAGAAGTAGCCGGCATTTTTTTTGAAATTCTGAGATAGCCATTTTGTAGAACGGAAAATTTTACGTAAAATGAGTTAATAAAAAAAATGGGTATATTCTTTGTTTTTTTAATATTAAAATAGTAAAGTCCAAAAACGTGGTTTTCCGAGCTTTTCTGATGATAAAACTTTTTTGAACCGCCATAACTTTGTTTCTGAGCGAGATAGCTCATAAGACCTAATGACAAAAAGTGTTTGTCTTTACACGACCTATCCGAATACGTATCACACTTAGTGACCAGATCACACAAGGTCATTGACCCTGGTGACCTTTGACCTTGCAAAATTATTTTTCTCAAGTATGGCACATGGTTCGAAAGAAGACATCAAGGCGATTATTTTGGTACCCGGAATTTTTCTGTAGCTCAAACAGAAGCTGAATTATTACAGTTTTTGATAATTAGAATGCAAAAATTATTGGGGAAGATAAATAAAAACTGTGATAATTCAGCTTCTGTTAGAGCTACAGAAAAATTCCGGGTACCAAAATAATCGCCTTGATGTCTTCTTTCGAACCATGTGCCATACTTGAGAAAAATAATTTTGCAAGGTCAAAGGTCACCAGGGTCAATGACCTTGTGTGATCTGGTCACTAAGTGTGATACGTATTCGGATAGGTCGTGTAAAGACAAACACTTTTTGTCATTAGGTCTTATGAGCTATCTTGCTCAGAAACAAAGTTATGGCGGTTCAAAAAAGTTTTATCATCAGAAAAGCTCGGAAAACCACGTTTTTGGACTTTACTATTTTAATATTAAAAAAACAAAGAATATACCCATTTTTTTTATTAACTCATTTTACGTAAAATTTTCCGTTCTACAAAATGGCTATCTCAGAATTTCAAAAAAAGTGCCGGCTACTTCTCAAAATTGAGGTCAAAGGTCACGAGGTCACCAGAAGTGACCTTGACCTGTGACCTACGATTTTGCGTCTCAAAGAAAAGTTGTAGAGGGCAACAATACAATTCCAAAACCATCCTGATTTTCTTTGTGCGACCACGGAAAGCCGAGATACAGCTGTTTAAAGGTTTTCAAAATCCAAATTTGAACGTCCCGTAAAACCCGCAAATTTCGAGATATCGGGGCAAAACTATATATTTTTGGAAACCTCTTGATATGGTTTATAACATACTAGAATTTCAATTCGATCAGTTAACGTGGACAAACTATGCCCCGTTCACAAAGAGCTGCTCCTATTATAAATTGTTTTAAATTGTTACTTACTTGTATAGTGAAGTTGAGGGTAGCGAGTTCTTCGCAATGGGGAGCTGGAGCGAAAAATAAGCGCACGTCTGACTCCTCTGAAGATCTGATTTGTTGTGCGATCATCAAACAGGTGGATGCTGGAGACGCCGCAGGGACTTATTGATTTGTACGTGTATTTATTTATAGGGCTCGTGCCAGCCGCTGGACTTTTGCGGGTGACATCTGACGGGACAATTTTATCTTTAATGTGCGCTGAAGTTTTAGTATTTTGAAAGCCTCATTGTCAGCTTAAACATTATGATTAAAAACCCCTGATCTATTGTAAGCCACGCTTCGACGGCTCTGTAAAAAATATGTAGGTTGCAAAATCGCGTAAAAATTTTAATTATTGTCATTAACAAAAGTCCCTCGTCAGGGCGTGTATAAGTAAAAAAAAGAGCAAAAATTACCACTTTTAACAAGCAATAAATTCTAGGAAAAATAAATGTCGGATATTTTTTAATCTATTGCATTTTTTTTTTTTTAAGATGAAAAGTTATTTTTCTTCATTAAAAAAACTAGAGATTCTATACTCAAAAAGAGTAAAATCGCTTTAGAAGATCAAAGTATTTTGCCTTTTTAAACTATATTTTATCAATTTATTTATTTAATCAGAAACATCTTTAGCAACAAAAACAAAATTAAATTTTAGCTCTTGTGTAAACAAATTATTTCTAGAGATATTATAGAAATTGAGAGAAGGCTCGGTTTAAACTTTTGATGCAATGAAACTGTGCTGCGGACTCTGCAACGCGGCAGCTTTCCTTGCTAATAATATACTTACCATTTAACACTGTATGAAATTTTTGAACTATTAAATAATAACGAAAATAAAAAATTATAGAGGATTTAATAAATAAAAAATCACCATGAATTTTTTTTTAATTTTTCTATTTATTTAAAATGTACACAAAATTATGTTTACTAGTAAAATTAATTAAAAAAACAATCTGATATAGTGCTTTTTCATTTTTATTAAACGTGCCAGTTATAACTAATTCACTTTCCCACAGTAACATATAAAATTAATTTTAAATCAATTAAAATTACAAGATTATATTAAATTTTTCTCATAAGAATCAACTAATTTTATTTTAAATTATTTAAATATTACATGATTAGGAAATAAAAATAATTTTATAATATATTTTTTGCCATATAATTTCAAAATATTTACACCAATGATGAACTGACACAAATTCATGATAAAATACAAAAAATTCAGTTAACGTTTGTAAACACCAAACTTATGATTTGGGCTGTTTTTTTTAACAAATAATATATCGATTTCGTACAACTCTTCATTATAGTAGTAAAAATTTTTAAAAATCCACAATCAATATAATTTTTTACATGCTTTTTTAATCAATATCAATTACAGGAATCGGTTCACTTTTAACAATTAATTTATTAATAATATTCCTCTCGGCCGTCTGGATAATCTTCTTCTCCACCATTCCCAAAATTGCCTCCGCGGCCAAAATACTCGAGCGCTGCACGTGTCGGCGCCGCTTGTGCGACTCCAGTTTGTGCCTCCTTTTGAAAACCTTTTCGCACTCGCCGCATTGAAATTCCTCCGGCTCTTCTCCCTCGAAACGACACACGTTCAAGTGATGGGCCAAAAGGGTGTTGCACGGCTGCGGAAATTTGCAATGAGGACATTTGGTTTGCCTGGTGTGACACTCAAAAGCTTCCTCCGAGTTGCACAAATGCTTGCAAAAGGCGCACTTTTTGATCAGCAAGGGGGCCACGACTGGTTCTTCTACCGAAACGGTCGAATTTTCATCCTCTGAAACTTTTTCTTCCTCCGTTTCTTTGTCACTCTCTTCACATTTGTGTGCATTGAACAGTTTGTAACAACAACTGACGTGATCGCAATTCAAACAGTTCCTCTTTTTGGCGTGCGTTTCTAGTCTAGTTTTTGACACACAAAAGAGTCCGCAAAAATCGCAAGTGAGATCTTTGAAGCATACGAGACGCTGATGTTCAAGACATCGGCTCCGACATGCAAATTTTGTTTTGCATTTGTGACAGGTCGCTTCTTTGCCCAAATGGTTTTTGTCAGACGAGTAAAAATCGCCGCATTCATTGCATTTGGTCCATTTCACTGCGACCTTTCCATTCTGCATCCGTTTTTTCTTCTTGCATTGGACATTGTGTTTCGCTGCAATTCCTCCGCACGCCAATTCCAAACCGCACTTTTTGCACTTCCGGACGGTTTTGTGATTCCCTCTCGATTTCATATCGAGAATGCGCGAACACAAATCGCACTTCCACTTTGGCTTTACCTGCACTTTTTGGCACAACTTTCGGTGCTCGACCAATTTGGAGTTGCAGTCGAACGTGTCCGAGCACACGTTGCACATTTTCGCCTCCAAATGTTGAAAGTAGGAATCCTCAGCGTCGAGTGCGAATTTCACGTCACAAAAAACGCACTTTAGCTCTTCTAGCTTAATTTTCTTTTCAATTATTTGAGAGTGATTCCGATTGTTGTCCAAACCTGCAGAGCCGCTCATTTTCAACTCACTTTTAGCCGGATTTGGAGGAATCTGGAAATAAATAAAATAAAATTTGATAAAAATGTTTTAATTTAATATTTAAATTAAGAATCTTTGGCGTTCTACGTTTTAATTCAATTTAGAAGTTTATTTTTTTCTTTTAAATGTAATTAAACATTTTTTGTTCTGCGTGATGCGGAAAGCTGCGCCCTTCGAGAATTTGAATTTGAACTGAAATTAAATCTTCTTTGGGAATAAATTAGTGAATATTTTGTTTTTTCTTTTGAGCAGAACCTGAAACCGAGAGTATTACCAATGCCCTGAAAACAAATAAAATTCCTAAATCTTGAGAGCATTCAGTATTTAGTTGGTCTCTTTCAAAGTAGAATTTTCTAAATTTTTATATCAGAAATCTGTCAGAAATGTTGAAAAATATATTTGTTTATTTCAAGCTATTTAATAAAAACTAATCGTCAAACTCTTTCGTGGACGCCTCAAGCGAACAATTCAAAGTTCGCGTGACAATTTTTTCTTTCACGCGTGCTGACTACCTATAAGTGTTTTGGTCAGCGCTGCGAAGGGGGAGAAGAAGTAAATCACACTCGCAGCAGCCCCTCGCTCGAGGGGTGAAAAAAAACATACCGCGCGCCTGAATTTACCTGACCCTATCTCTACAACCTAAACGCAGGTATAAGATTTTCGAGCGTCTTGAAGGGTAAAAATGCACCTGAAAAACTTATCTTAGAAGAAATATAGTTAATTTTTTCCACCGCTGAGAAAGTTGTGCTCATAAAACACGATTTCTCTGAAAACTGATCTAAATTTTTGTAAAAATATTTAGACGTTTAGCTTTAAATTCAATTGTTTTAATTGTATTTAAAAAAAAATGTATTCATCAAATTATATTTTTTTAAACCTTAGAGCAAATCTGAAAATTACACGGTATTGGTCAAAATTGTTCACCATCCGCCGCAGTCAATTATTGCTTTTTTCTTTGATGAAACATTAATTGAATTAAAAAAAATCATCAAAATTTGAATTTAAACAGTTTGAATAATGTTATGTAGGATATTATTTGGAAATCCTCTAAAAACTATTTTATTTCATTTTGGTTCTAAATAATTTTGAAAATGCCCTGTTAAAAATAGTAAGTTTTTCTAGTTCTCGATAAAAAAATTAATTTTAAATTTAAAATTTTGCCAGTACTTACTTGCATAGTGAAGTTGTAGTTATTCAAAGCAGAGCTGGAAGGAAACCGCACGTCCGTCGCCTACGAAGGTCTCACTCCGTATGCGATGCAATCATCAAATGAAAAACGGGTGGCGGTGGTGGTGCTTTTTTTCCTTATAATAATGACGCGAGGGTAGGATTAAAGCGGCGGCACTAGCGGGAGACGGATCGATGCAACAATATAAATTCCTCTTGAGCATTTCGGCACCTTCAAAAAGTGTAGCTCAAAAAGAATTAATCCCTCGACCTAACAATAAGATTCGCTTCTTTTGACAGTTCTGAAAAAAAAATATACATTCAAGTCATCAGATTAAAAATTCACCTAAAATAAAATTGTTCTATAATTCTTTTTAGTCTCTAAGCCAAGATTTTTCTGTAAAAAATCACTTCAGTTGGAATCGCGTGAAAAAAGACTTAAATATTATATTTTTAATTAGTCTGTTAAATTTTACTCATATTTTAGTTCTATAAAATTTATGACGGCACTGATTTTCAAACGTTTTATATTCCTATTGATTCTGCTGTATTTTGAACCAGAATGAAATAATTAAAAAAAATAATTATTGGGAAAATGATTTTTTATTTATTTATGCAGATAAAAGTCATTTATACCTAATTTTGTTACATTTTTAAAATTTAACTATTAAATATATGATAAAATTGCTTAAGTACTTACATTTGTAGCTTAAAGTGCGGAGCAGGATGGAGGGAGCAAAAAATCTGCAGCGACCTTCTTCTCCAAAGATCTCTTTTGTTGTGCTGGGGTCGAGCTCTGGAGCGTCGCTTCGGATGCTGATGGAGGGACTAGCGGGGAAATAGCACAGATGCTGGATGCATATGTTGGAGTTCTTGAAGCATGAATTTTAAGGATCATAATGATGCCAAAAAACATTGTACATATTCTTTTAGCACCAGCTGTAAATCCCTGACGCTGATGTCGCTTTCTTTAAATAAGTGACGGACTTTTTGAATCGTTAGTGGCTCGCCTTATTTAGCTCGTGTGCCTGTGAAAGACATCAATCAACATAATTATACCTCACATATGTCTTTACTCTTTATTTTTCTTTCCTTCGCACGGCCAAAATGGTTTGATCTCTAAATTTACCACCCTCGTCAATAATTATCAATATATGTCAAATTTTCTTTGTTCCGAACCGACACGACAAAGACAAACGAGGCGATAGAAATATTCTTAAACAATTATTTGCTTCCTGAAAGTCAAAATTTGGTGTTCCATTTTTAATTTCAGAAATCTGAATATTTCAAACTATTATCAAGAGCTCAAGAGGAAACATAGTCTTGATTTTTTTTTAAAATAAACTATAAATCAATCAAGAAATAGAGAAATTTAAATGTTTAAATAATTAATTCACTTTTAAACAACTACAATTTTGATTAAAATCTTAGAAAAATTTGAATAAATACTCAAATAATACAAATATTTAATTTTTAGAATTCTGCACTACCAACATTGATCTGATTTAATGTATTTAAAGTACTATGAAGTATAAAAAGTAAACCCTTAATAACATATTCGTTCGCAATCCAAGAAAGGAACATTCCCCTGACATTTGAAATTAGAAAATAAATTAATTTTTTCTTCTTAATAAATGATAAGGGAAGTGATGATTTTTTTTCAATTTTCTTCCCAACCATTTTTTCACTCGGAAAAGATAGTGAAATTGGCGCGTCTATCTCATAAGAACGGAAACTAGGGTGCAGGCTGCGTTATTATCAAGAGAAAGGAAGCGTGCGTCGCCCCTCTGCGATACTTTGCCGGACAAACCATCTGCTTTTTTTGTCCAGCACCGGATTTTTAGACTACATTTGTGCAGCTTTTGCAACAATAATCGCATAATTGGAGTCACATTGCTTACATAATGTGACCTCTTGACCAGTGCCATAATAATTTAGCGTAATGTCAAGGGTGATCAAAATCATGTGAGGTATTCAGGATTTTTACACAATTGAAATGAAATAACAACTAAATGTAAAAAAACGAGTCTTTTCATGCAAGAGTGTGGGGAAAAAATCAAACACAAAGAATACAAATAATAAACAATGAATACAATCTTTTCTTTAAAATAAACTTAAAATAAGTTTTTATTTTGCTTTTCTAAATATTTTTAGTTTTATAGTTATGTAATGTTGATTTATTAATTCAATTCATTTATTCTCTCGCAACAAGTCAAACAAAATTTTGTATTTAATTATTAAAATTTAATTTATTAAATTTTCATTATTATTCCATAAATTTACATATTTTATTCTTTTTGTAAATTTTAATACTACCCTTAATCTGTGCTAAAAATTAAAAAAAAATTAATATATATTTAAAAAATAATTGAAAGTTCAAGCTAGTTTTTATTTATTTGAACTACACAACATCAGCGAATTTTTTACAGTGTTTTATCTTTGGCTACTGGGAAGGAGCCCCCCTGTCTCTATATCTCTTTTATTATTCAACCCTGGTACAACCACAACCTCTCTACTCATCACTTTTGTGTCGGCGGGAAAGTAAACTGAGGGACTGCCCGCGGTTTGCATCTGCCGGTCAAGAGAAATTCATCTTTTATCTCTCCACCGGCATTGAGCACTATAATTCAGATTTTTTCCAGCATAAAAGCATAAAAGGTTTTTAGATATTATCAATTTTTTTTATCATTTTTCAAAATAGGGGAAGTATTAAATATATCTTTGCCAGGAGGAAATAATTTTTAATTGGATTCCTCAATGGTTCTCAATTTATTTGAAAAATTTAAATATTAATATTTGATTTGTGAAAATAATAAACAAACAAAGAACATGTTCTGTGGATTCTTTTTTTTTATTAAATTAAAAAGTACAGCACATTAATCTGAAATTTTTAGCTGATATTATCAAGAAAATGTGGAAATTATTGAACACCAACACACTAAATATAAAATAGCACTTTCACAATAATGTTTACTAAATAAATGTATAAAAATTTGCATTTACTCGAAAGTTTAAACCAAAATTACAATGATTTAATCATAATTATATTTTTTATATCTAAACAGCTTAATTATTTAATTTTAAAACCAATCTTTACTCGCAAAACAGCAATTTTCCTTTTTTTTTTACCTTGAAACGTTTTACAATTTGTAGTAATTTTAGTCATTTTTTAAACTAATCGTATTATCATTTGCATTTTGATCCTTATGTAATATTAATGGAGTTTGCTTTTTTCACTTTGAGAATTAATTAAGAAATATCAATCGTTTCATGCTTGACAAATGAAGCGCCAACAAAAAATCTCTGCGCCTCACTCAATTTTTTCTCCACCATCATGGCCAAAATTGCCTCGGCGTTAATTCTCGACCGCGTGTGCCGGCGCCGCTTGTGCGACTCCAGTTTGCCTTTCTTCTCGAAAACCTTGTCGCACTCGCCGCATCGAAACACCTCGGCCTTTTCCTTCTCAAAACGACACAAGTCCAAGTGATGGGCCAAAAGGGTGTTGCACGGTTGCGCGAATCCGCACCGGGGACAGTCGGTCTCCCGCGTGTGACACTCAAAATTTTCCTCCGAGTTGCATATAATTTGGCAAAACTGGCACTTTTTCAGCACAAGTGGCTTCACCGGTTCCTCGTAAAATCCCTTCGAATTGACCGATCCGATTTTTACGATTTTAATATCCGTATCAACACTTTTTTCTTCAGGCTCTTTTGGAACTTCCATTTCTGCGTCGCTTGCTTCCGAGCACTCGTGTTGGCTGAAAAGGTTGAAACACTGGCTGACGTGGGAGCAATTCGCGCAGCGCCTCTCTCTTTTGTGCGTTTCTTGGGTTTGTTTCGTCAAAAGTTGGCCGCAAAATGTGCAACTGATTAAGCAGTTTGCTTCGTGTTGCGAGCGCAAACCGCCGCAATCGAATTTTTCGCCGCAATTCTGGCACGATCGGGATTTTTCTTCAAAATGCAATCTTTCGCTTTTGTAAATTTTCTTGCAGTGAGTACAAGAATTTTGTTCCTTCGGGATGCTGCTCAGCTTTTTCTTCTTTTCTCCACCCTCGCAATTCGATTTGTGCGCAGTGGCAAGTCCGCAACAGGCAAAGGTTAAATTGCATTTCTTACACTTTCTCTCCATTTTGTGCTCCTCTTGCAAATATTTGCGCCTGCAGATTAAATATCGCGAGCACAAATCGCACCACTGTTTTTTGTTTTGATATTTACGTCGTGGTCTGTTTTCATCAAAATTACGGCAGTGCCATCGCCGGTGAGTGGACAATTTATTGAGGCAGTCAAATTCTTCCGAGCACGATTGGCACTTGGTTTTGGTCAAGTGACTTAAAAAGCTTTTCATCGCCGTGGGATTGAATTTCGTGTTGCAAAACTCACATTTCAATTTACTTGAGTCCTCTCTGGCGCTTTGGTGGGGTATTTTTGAAGCAAAGCCTGACTCGTCACATTCAGATGGCATCTCGGAGTCATTTTTATGAGAGTCTGAAACAAATTTATTCACATTTACATTAATATTTACTTTAAAATCAGTTAATTATGTAAAATATTATTATATCAATAATAATTCGATTAAAAATAGATTTTAAAAAATCTAGAGACTCACCATTGCTTGAAACAAGGCAACCAATTCGGTCAGAAATCGGAAGGTCCACTTCTTGTCGTTTCTTAAAATAGAGGTAATAGAAATTTTAAATTAATCCATTATTATTGATTTAAAATTTAAATCTTTGAAACCCACTTCAGAGACAAAAATTGATAAATCTTAGCATCATCTATTTTAGTTAAATTTTTTAGTTTATCGATTTTTTTCAAACAAAATTTTCAATTTGATATTTCATCTAATTTTAAACACAAATTTACTTTAATAGCACAAAAAAAATCACCTAATTGAATAAAAACTTCAACAAAAATTATCCTAATTATCCTAATTTTGCTACGAACTTCCCTTTTTCTTATTTTTATTTATTTATAAAATATTTAAGCTTAATATCATCAAAATTGGAATCTATTTGACCCAAAAAATCACCTGTTTTATCCAATCCAATGTTTTATAAAAAAATTTATAAATAAAAATAATATTTGGAATTCTAGCAGTCAATATTTTTGCGCTTGCAAGACAGTAAAAAACGAAATCGTTCATCCTGTGGGCGCCAGAAAGAGAGGAAGAGAGAAATTATATTATTATTATACTTACATTTGCGAAGCTCATTTTTAACCGCGGCGCAGCAGGAGAGAAAATCATCCGCGACCAGCACCTTCCAGGATCTCGCGAGCAATGCTGCGCTAGGCAGATGTCCCGTTTGGAAAGGCATAAGGGAACAATGCTATGCTATGCATTGAGGGGGAAAAGTGCGTGTAGCGAGACCCCTAACGATTAAGACAGCAACCATTCCTCTCAAATCTGTTCAGTACCAAATAGAGATGATATTAAATTTCATCAAAAAACCTGTTCAAAACTAGTGCAAAGTCATTTTTAATCTCCTCTAATCTTATACCTACTAGATTTTTTTTATTTATGCCTCACGAAATTCGTGTGGATATTTTATGCCCTGGATATTGGGATGTAAAAAGATGAGATACACAATTTTGAAATTAGAAACGCAGTTTTTTATTTTTTTACTTGAAAACTAAATATTTCTTGAAACTATGATTAGATTTGATTTTGCTTATAACACCACAAAGAAAATTAAAAAATGATGATATAATTATTTGAAATGAAAAGATCGGGCTATTCCTCATAGCAAAAATTGTTCTAATTAAAAAACAAAGCGGCTCTACGGTGTGCGACCCAATTTCATGAGCAAGAAAAACAAAAAATCAGCAATTTTGAAAAAAAGCACCAAATTTTTATTGTATTTTTTTATGTTAAAATGTGATAGTTTTTTTTTTCAATTTTGCTGATTTTTTTTCTTGCTCATGAAACCGTGACCGAAACTAGTGAAGCCATTTTTTTTTAAATAAAAAACAATTTTTTACAGCGAGGAAAATCCCGATCTCTTCATTTCCATGATAATCTCCTCGAGTGTCAATTTCTTCAAACAAAAGAATTATAACTTTAAATTAAAACGGTTCATTTTGTTACAAATTTCGTCCTGTTTCTGATTGAAATTTGATATTTAATTGTAATATAATCATTTAAGTAAATTGTGCTTTTTTGTTTAAAATATTACACTTTTATAATAAATTAAACCAAACAAAAAATAATCTGGGATAACTTTATCCCGCGCTAACTTAAGTAAATCCCCCATTATATGACGAGAAGTGTCCCAAATGAAAAAGGTTGGATCTTTTTTTTTAGAAAAGAAAAAATGCGAAGGGGATAAATTTTTTTTTTCCTTTTTCCAAGGTCTTTCGCTCTCAAGAGTTTTCGCTCAAGTGAATATTTTGTGAAAAGAGAGGACCCAAGGAGAAAATTTGACAAGCGCAGCAAAATGCGACCCGAAAGTACAATTTGCCCAGAAGATGAAAATAATCCTATTTTCCGTCTTCGTGACCACACACAGCAAAGCTTATTTTTTTTCTGAGGGTGCGAGCTTCAGGTAGAAGGAAGATCTCCCTCCCCTCGTCACTCCGACGCCTCCTCTCCCTTCAACCTTTCTTTTGCTTCTTCGGAATTGTTATTCTCGAACAAGAGCAACGCAGACAGTAGAAGGATCAAAATATCTTCACGAAAATATCAGTCTTCTGAGAAAAAATTCTTCTTTCAAAAGTGCCAAATTAATTTGGTTGAGAAATTTTGTTTTAAAAACTAAATTTTTGTTATTCTTCATATTGACTCCGCAACAAAATATTCCATTTGAGAAATTAATGTATGAAATGAGTTGCAAGAATCACATTTTATATCAGGGAAAATAAATTACTTCAGTTCAATTTAAAAATGAGTCAGTTTCAATATTCATCAAAAATGTTTTTATACGTCATAATAAGAAAAATTAAATTTTTACACAATTAGAACCACAATATTTTATTTACTATCAATAAAATTTATTCGAAAGAACAGATTTACAAGTAACATTTTGTTAAATTAGTAATAAATCCAAATTAAAATTTTAATTTCCAGCTGAATAACGTTATTTTTAGCACTGAAATAATTGGAAAAATTTTTCATTTTAATTTTACAAAACTTCAAAATAAAACAATGATAATTCAATCGTCAATCGGTTCTGGTTTGATGAACACTTTCTCAATAATATCCATTTGCGCCTTGTTGAAATTTTCGTCCCCTAGCTGATCCATAATGTCCTGCAAATTGCACTCCTCCACTTTACAACTTAACGTGTGCTCGGCCAAAAAGGTGCTGCACGGTTGGGCAGACCCGCACAAAATGCAGAAGGTCTGCTTGACGTGGAGTTCAAAATTTTCGACCGAGTTGTACAGATTTTGGCAAAATGGACACTTTTTGAGCACCAACTTCGGCACTGCGGGCTCGCTGAAAAATTCCTCACAATTTACCGAAGCACTCTCGACAATTTTTATCTCGTCAGGATAATTTTCTTTCTTCAAATTTTGCAAACCTTCACCAATTTCGACTTCACAAAAGTTTTGCGGATTGATTTCTTCGGTCAAATTTATATTAATTTCACAATTGTGCAGCTTAAATTGCTTGTCACAATGACTAACGTGGGGACAAAAATTGCATCGCCGCTCTTGATCGTGTTGCCTCCGTGTTTTCTCCGACATGTAATGTTTGCCACACATTTTGCAACTGAGAAAATTGCAGCACTGGACCTCGTGTTGGCGGCAAAGACCTCTGCACTGGAAGATCTTCCTGCACTTCCGGCACGATAATCGACCCTTCCTGCTTAAGTGGTTCATCTCTGATTGGTAAATCCCATGACAGAAATTGCACGGTTTGTAATTTGGCACCTTTTTCGTTTTGCAATTTGGTTTGTGAAAGGCAGAAATTCCAGCACAGCCAAGCTCCAGACCACACCTGAAGCAGTTCCGAGCACGCTTGTGCGTTGCAATAGACGCAAGATTTAGAAATCGCGAGCACAAATCGCACTTTATCTTGTTGTCTTCATTCATTTCCGGCTTGGTGCAGTCGCTTCTCTTGTGGTAGAAGAATTTTGAATGGCAGTCCAAATAATTCAGGCAGATCTGGCACCATCGAGGATTCACGTGGGAGGAATAAAGTTGCACATCTTCCGGGCCGAATTTCATGTCGCAAAATTTGCATTGCAAGTGCGCGACCGAACCGTCGATGAGCTGCGAGGACTCATTTTCCGCCAGAGGAGATTTTGGAGTGTCTGAAATCAAATTTATTATTATCATTAATTGCGATCAAAAATTTTTTATTTTAATTAGTCTAAATTTTGAGAGTAGAGATTAGTTTGAATGGAATTTCTTTAAAATTTACTTTAAATTTCAATTTCCAATATAATTTTGAATTGTTTAAATTTATGCTCTGCCGTTTCAACAACCATGAAATAAGAATTGAAAAGCCGTAATTTATAATTAATTAAACTAAAGAATAAATAAATTATATATATTTTTTATATTTATTTTTTTGAAAATATTGAGGGCATCTCGAAGACCAGGCTTATTTCTGCAGGAAAATATTTTAATTTTAATAAAAATTTCACAATCAAGGCTTTACATAAGTCATTTTTTTTTAATACCAAACATGAACCGACTAAAATTATCGCCAAATAATAAAGCCGAACTTCAATTCAAACACCATTCGAGTGTTTCTTTTTTGTTATGCAGAGACCGTTTGTTTTTCCTTTCCATGGTCTAGTGCGCGCCTCGGCAGGTGCCTTTGAAAAAGTGCATCCTACAATGAAATCTGTTTCGTGGATCTGAAATTTTCAAACTTCTTTTCGTCGTGACAGATGCTCGATGTAAATAAAAATGCATTCATTCTTTCCACCCTTTGTCGTTAGTGGAGAACGCACCATTTTTGGTCTTTGCTTATAAATTAATTATCCCCAAAGCTGATGTCGCGTTTCCGGCTTGTCAGGTGTTTTTATTTTTTCGGTGTCCGTTTGCTACTTTTATGCTTCTTTGCAATATTACAATGGAACAGAAAAGGAAGAGTCGGGAGAAAACGATCAAGTTGGAAAACGCGACGACAGAGCCCATTTATTATAATATTTGAGAAGGAGAATTAAAAATCTCGAGCGTGCATAACACAAAAAACAAAATGAACAGTGCCACCTTCAGAAAATCAAGAATTTTATAAAAAAAAAGGTTGTAAACAAAACTTTAAAAAAGGAAATTTATAGCTCTGGGCAGTAATTTCTTATGATTATTTTAAATATTTATGGCTTTACAGACACATAAAATTTTTACTCCCGTCAAATTGTTTGAATCGACCAATCAAATTCACTAAAGAATTCTCAAATTGACCGCGTTAAATCAGACTTAATTAGGAGCCTTGTTTAGGTCAATTTAAATAGCGCCAACGGGAAGGGAATTTACTTTTCCGCCGGCGAGTGTGACTGGATTACGAGCTGCGGAGTCATTTTGCACTCGCTTCACTGCTGGAGCTTTTCTTAATTCTCTTTGCATTTCGGCTATGTCAGAAAAATTCTAAAAAAGTAAGTAATATTTTGACTTTGATCGTTTCTTAGATAGATAAAAAAAAAGTATTTTACAACATTGAGAGTATGAAAGAAAATGTAGAGAATTTAATTAGCTACAATTTTCGGGAAAGGTTTGTTATTTTAAAATTTTTCTATCTAAAAAATGAAAATAAAAATTAACTTTTCTCTGGATAACTATTTTTATAAGAATAAAAAATAAAAATAAAATTTATCCATTTACTTGGCTCTGCCAATGCCGCAAATTTGAATTAAATCGAGCCGTGCGAAGCAAGGAGCAGAGGCCTGCGCGTATATTTATGCTCGGATTGAAAAATTAATTAAGCAGCGATTTTCCTCACGCCTTAATTGTTCTTGAAATATCGGCTTTTCGATCGCCAGAATTACGAAACTTTCAAAATGATTAAATTCCATCTGGAAAACTTTTGTCGGGTTGCTAAACTCGTTTCCGCTTTTCTCCCAGAACTGGACACGCCCACACCATATGATTAGTATGGCTTTCTATTTGTAGACCAATTAAGTGCATCGTGTCTCGCCTGGATCAAGATTTAGCCCAAATTCGCCGAAATTCGGCCGAAATGCAAAGAGAAGAAGCGCTAACGGACTCGCCGTCGGAAAAGTAAGTTCCCTTCCTTGCAAATTGACCTACAAGGCTAATAATTTAGTCTGATTTTCTTGTTAAGCGCGGCCAAAAACGCTAAGTTAGCCATTCATGCCGCAAACAGGTCGATTTGACAATTTTTTTCAGTGTTTTATTACTGAAAGTAATAAAATATGAATATCTACGAGCGGATTGAGAGGTTTAATATATATGGTCGCAGATTTAACTGAAGAGAATGAATTAAATGAGATTGCCAAAATTATCAATTCAATAATGCGGTTGATCAAATTATTTTGAAATTACATGCAATATCAATATGAATAAAATTTTGCAGAAAATTAAGAGGAAATTAATCATAATTAGAGTTTTTCACCGTCAATTGGAATTACCCGAGGTCGAATAGAGTAACTGGACTAAACTTGTCTCTCTGTGAACTGAAGCTTGAATGAAAATTTAAGGTGATCGATTTTTCTCTTACAATTTCACTCGAACACCAAATCACGTGGTCGTGCGGCATTAACATTCCGGCGCCTCTCAACGACGCAAAGAGCCGCACGTGCTTGGACTTAATTTGTGCGCAACATTGTTTTGAAAAAAAAAACAGAATGCAATACGAGAGACGATTATTATCCTCTCCATTGAAGTGAAATTAATTTAATTGGCGTCGATGCATCCTGTCAGCGCTACATGAAAATCAGGTTGCAAAAAGATAAATTAGGGCTGCTTCGTGTTTTCTCTCCTTACAAATTATAAAGTATCACAGAAAAAAAATTGTTAACTAAATTTTCTTAATTTTTTATTTTCGATAAAAAAAAATCTGAATCAGCCAAATCACAAAGGAAACCCCTGTAGGGAGGAAAAGGGAATCAGCGGCTACCAAAGAAGGGGCGGCCGCGCCACCTTAAAAAGAAAAAAAAATTAGTCGTGCTGAACAATGAATATCTCTCATAAACGGAGGAGAGCTTCGAACACATCTGCACTTTTGGCGCGAAAAGTAAAATATCCACCAAAATTAGCCAGATGCACACAGCCCGCGATGAACTATAAAAAAATGCAGCCCCACAACAAAAGCATTTCCTTTTCCGAAGAAAATAAAAGCAAAAAAGCTGGTTTTGTCTTGAATGGAAAAGAACGACCAGGAATATTATATAATTATTATTTGAAAGTTTTTGATTCTAAGTCAATATTTGTGCAAATTATTCCAGATAAAATAAATTTTGTCAATAAATTAATTTAATTCACAAGAAATTGAAGTATCACGCATAGCTTAAAAAATTAAATTAATTCATGTTTTGATTTATTGAGAAATAGCCAAGAAAATACATAAAATAATGCGCTGTGAAATTTCCACGAAATGGTTTTTGCAAAAATTCGTTTTTTTTATTTTTTAAAGAAGAAAATATATTTATTCTTCTCTCCTTTTATGTATAAAATATAGGCGTATAAAACTCACAATTATTGTTGAAAAAATCGCCACCTTCACCATCATCGCAGTGCTGTTCAATCCTCTCATGGTCTAGTATTGAAATAGGTTGCTCATGCTGGACCTAAAACAAATAAAGCACAAGAACATGTAAATTTTGTGACGGAAATTTTATTTTATTAAAAAAAATAATTTGGCTCTAATTTTTAGAGAACCAAAAGTACTGGTGACTTAAAAAAATCTTTGTTCATTGCATCAACTTTGAAAAATAATTGAGAAGTCTCATGAAAATATATAATTTATTTTAAATATTAAAATTACATTAAATTGGCCTCATAATTGAGCATGGTTTGCGATTTCTTACCACGGGCAGACTCATTTTAAATGTCGAATCTGAGCAAACGAAGAGCGAAAAAGGGAAGAGAAATTTTCATGTCCGTCCTCTCAGGGAAGCTCTCAGGTTGTGGTGGTCGTGTTGCCAGCGTCGGTCAAGCCAGCCCCCCATGTGCTCACGTGATTTCATCCCTGAGGCGAGTTGGGCGAAATCTGGCAGCAAATTCCTGAACCGTCTGGAACCTTTTTATTCCGAGACGAAGGGGAAAATTTTCCAGCTGATCCATTCATCCTTTTCTTTTTAATGTAATTTTGCCCGGAGATCAACAGATTTTGTAAATATTTTTCAATTCATTTTATCTCTGCCTTTTCATTCACGGAGGAGCTCATTAAATTAATTATTTATATTTATGTTAACAAAGGCAAAATTATTAAATATTTTGCAGAAAAATCAAGTAATTATTATCAGTAAAATAACAAAATATTAATTTATTAAATGAAATCATCCTTTTTATTTTATATCATTTTAATTTCATACACATTTTTTCTAAATTTATAAAACACTAATTCCTAATTAATTAAATAATTTAAAATTTTTTTAAAATACAACAAATAACAAATTTGTATGTCTAACTTAAATTTTATAATTTACAAAATACTTTAAGGAGTGAATTGCATTTTTTTTTTTTTGTTTATTAAAATTATGAACGTTAATTAAAAGTTAATAAATAATCACTGGCTAGTCCATGTTAATAATCTCGATGGGCTCTCGCTTGACAATGTAATTTTGAACAAAATCCAAATCCCGTTTCTCCTTTAAAAGTTCCAAAATTTGCTCCTGCACCTTGGGCTGCACGTGCCGGCGTTGCTTGTGCGAATTCAGTTTGCTCTTCTTTTCGAAACTCTTTTCACACTCGTCGCACTGAAATTCTTCCGAAAGACACTTTTCCACGTGCCGGCCGTAAAGGGTGCTACAATTTTGGAGAATTTTGCACTTTGGGCACTTGACCTGCCGCGAGTGACCCTCAAAAATCTCTCTGTGGCAAAACCGGCACTTTTCGAGCGTTGCAGTCTCCGCAGCAATTTCCTCCTCGTCGGCTTTTCCTGGACAATCGTGCGCCCTGAATGAGTTGAAACACTGGCTGACGTGATTGCAGCGCTGACATTGGCGTTTTCGAGTGTGTTTTTTCTGACCTTGTTTTTCTTTGAAATTTTTCCCGCAAACTTTACATTTCAAGAAGTTGCAGCACTGAATTTTGTGTTGGTTGCACAGGCCTCTGCACTTGAAACTCTTCTGACAATTGCGACAAGTGACGCTTCTTTTATATCTAAAGTGGTTTAATTCGGACTTGAACGAGTCGAGGCAAAAATCGCACGTGAACCATTTTTCTGGCGGGTTCTGCTTTTCCTGATTGCAAAATTGACGGTGAATCTCAGCCAGTCCGACACAGGCGAATTCCATTTTGCAATTCGTACAGCTCGTCTGGTAATTTGTGTGTTTTAGGCGCGAAGTCGAGGCAAATCGCAAACAAAAATTGCAGAGCCACCTCTTCTTGCTTTCAGTTTGCAAACAGTCTTTGTTGTTATGAGCGTCAAATTTTGACTGGCAGTCGAAAACTTCTGCACAGCGACTGCACTGAGTTGGAGCCACGTGGGAGAAATAAAGGTTTTCTTCGGTCGGACCAAATTTCTTGTTGCAAAATTGGCACTGCTTGTCTTTGGCAGAAACTGGGGACAGAAATTTATTCTTTGTCAGGTTTCCTTTAAATTTTTATTTTATTTGAAAATCATAAGCTACGGATTAATTTAAAACTTGTTAATTAAAAAATAAATTGATTGATTTGCATAATTTTTTAATTATCAATTTGTGGTTTTTCGTCCCTACAAACGAAATAAGTAGACGAAATGCATAAATGTTAACGACTCGACCGGCGCCGGCGGCTGGCGTCTATTTTTTTACAATAAGTTTTCGGCTATTGTGCGGGTGGCGCCGAGGGCAAAAACAGTGGCAATCATGAATTCTAAGCTCACTTTGCTAATTTCTGCGCATGCTTTTAGAGTGGCGTCTTAGTTAGGCGTGTAGACAGGAAGGCGCCTTATTTTGCGCAGTGCGCCAATCGTGCTTTCTATACTAATATAGATATATTTAAATACAAATAATTACATGTGTTATGGACTGCGCCGGTGCAGGTTGCAGTTTAATTTAAATATTTTTTCCCTGTTTTTTTTTTTAGAAACTTCAGATTAAACATACATTGGTTATTTGTTAAATTTATAATAAAAATTTTGCCATTTTGTTATCCTATCAAATTTATACATAAATTCTTTGCATTTAAAGTGAAAAATATTTATTTGAAAAATGGAATTGTTAGGACAAAATTTAGCTAAAACTATAACCCAAAATCCAAATTATCCACCCCATCTGCCGCCATGAGTCTCCGTTGATTTACTACAATGAGTTCAGAATTCTTATAGGTTTTGTTCTTTTTCTTTTACCAACAAATTATATATCTTTATAAAATTTGAACATCTTAAATTAAAATGTAATTTGTTCAGATATTTTCTTATGCACACAAAAATTTAATTTAAAGTTTCTTGGAGAAAGGATTCTAAATTCTGACGGGATCAAAATTTTCAATTGGATTTTCTACAAATTGCGAATTCGCTCCATGAAGCCAGGAAGTTAAGATTGATTGATTTTGTTGAGGAGTTCTTTATTGCTGGATGATTAGCGTTGACGCCAAAACGCCAGACACGTTAAGAAAAAAAATTAAGAAGCCTCTCAACTGCATGGGGGGCGCTTTAGCAGAAAATGTTTCACAAAGAAAATTACATTCACCTTTGATCTAGTAAGTCTAATTGGATTGACATTAAAAATCTTTGACTGTTAAATTATCCGAAATTATCATTTCCTTCTAGATTTTTATTTTATTTTTCAATTCGTCAAATAGAATCACTTATAAATTTTAGATTTGCTCAATTTAGAAGGCAAGATCATGCTGTTTTTAATGAGAAAGGAAGCAGGCGTATATTTTATGACGTCGCAAGCGATCGTCTTGCACGGACGGCGCTAATTAACCCATATCAAATAAAGTTGACTGTCTTTTATTTGGCGCATAAGCACATTCTTGAAGCATTAGGCAAAATGAGCGAGCAGCTGCACGTTCAATATCGAGTGACCTTTTTCCAAACGCGAAATCAAATCTTCATAACTCTTTCCTTTTGAATTAAGAAAGGATAAAATAATTTAAAATCGACCTTTCTTTAAAATTATTGATTTTGAAGGTATAAATAATGGCGCTGCCCAAAAAAATTCAATCAAGATTACAATTAACATAACAATGAAGAACGAAAAGAAAATTTACTCGAAAATAAAATTGAAAATTAAATACGTATTTTATAAATAGAAACTTACAATTATTGTTGGAAAATTCATCACTTGCTTGGGAGGTACTCGGGAGGTCATATCGGTGAGAAGTTGACGGGTCCTTTAAATATTTGAACCAAATTTAAGATTAATTTGACAAATTAATAAAATTTTACTTTTCTTGTAATATTGGAAAAGAAATTATTACTTTATACTCACAATTATTGTACTCATTTTGGACGTAGCTGCAGGATGAAAGAGAGCAAGTTTTAAAAGTGCGTCTGCCACCTTCAGAGTTCACTCGGTTAATGTGGCGCTGATCTGGATAATTTCCCTCTAAGTAAGCCGAATGATGCTTGGCTTGGGAACGAAAATTCCCCTGTTTTGAGAAATGCTTGAAGTGTGAAATTTGAGGCTTTTCCCCCTATAGCATAAAACCGTGACTAAATTGCAAGAGGAGATATATTTAAGATTGTAAATACAAAAAGTGGTACTTAAAGCACAAAAAGTTTGTTGAGCTTCTATGTGATTAACATTAATTTCCTTCTAATTGTTGCATCATTTCAAAATGATGGGAAATAAGAAACACTAATCTCAACTAGATATTGTTTTTGCAATTATATAAGGTAGAGGTGAATTAATTATACTTTTTATTTTTCAATTTTCGCTATGAGTTTAATAAATTATATTAAATATTTTGTAGATGAAAGATCAACATGGCAATAAAAATATTTAATTTTTTTAAGGTTTAATCCATAAATTACAGTATGAAAAGTTTTTCGTGATTTAATAATGTTTTTATTGGCCCAAAAGTCATTTTAAATGACGATTATTTTATTATTCAAATATTTATTCTATTTTTAAGTAATAATTGATTCTAAAAAGCATAAATTTGTTATTACAAAATTTAAGAAGTATAAAACAAAATTATATTATTCATATATTTTGCGTTTTATATCAATTTTAAATTTCTGCAAGCAATCTTTATAATTAGATTTTAAATTTTAACTTATTTAATGATTCTTTTAAATTTCCTAAAGCTGTAAAATTAATCAATTATTTCCAATCCTTATTCTAATTTTAGTTTAAATATTTAATTTTTATTTCGATTTTCAATAAATGAAATTTTATTATAACTTTTCATTTTATTTTTGTCAATAAATTCACTGCGCCTCACTGAACTTATTATTCTTTGCCGCACTCGCTGCACCGAAATTTCTCCGGCTCTTCTCGTTCAAAACGACACAAGTCCAAGTGATGGGCCAAAAGGGTGTTGCACGGTTGGGCGAATCCGCACCGGGGACAGTCCGTCTTCCGCGTGTGACACTCAAAATTTTCCTCCGAGTTGCACAAAATTTGACAAAAATTGCACTTCGTCATAATCAGTGACTGCAGCTTACGAGGCTCTTCGTGAAATCCTTTCGAATTCGACCCACTTTCGACGATTTTTATTTCGTCAGAGCTATTTTCCGCAGGTTGTTGGCCAATTTCCATCTCTTGGTCGCACTTTTCCGGGCACTGATGCTGCCTGTGGAGTTTGAAACACTGGCTGACGTGAGGACAACTTTCGCAGCGCCTCTCTCTCGTGTGCGATTCTTTGCTTCTTTTTGTCAAAATTTGGCCGCAAAATTTGCAACTGCCTCTGCACTTGTAAGCCGTGTGTTTCATGAGAAAACCGTTGCATTGGAAAATTTGGCTGCAATTTTGGCACGACCTGTATTTCTCTTCAAAATGAAATTTTTTGCCCCAGTAAGTCCTCATGCAGAAAGGGCAAGAATTCTGATTTTCTCTAATAGGCGGGATGGGCTGTTTTTTCTTCCGATTTTCTCCCCGGCTTTTCTTCGAGCCGCATTTGTGAGCCGCAGCAAGTCCGCTGCAGGAAAGGGTTAAATTGCATTTCTTACAATTTCTCTCCATTTTATGCACATCTTGCATATATCTGGGCCAACATTTTATGTATTGCGAGCAAAAATCACACCAAAGTTTTTTGTAATAGTTTTTACAATTTTTACTAATTGTAAGTTTGACTCTTTTTTCCCTTCTGTCTTTATCAAAATTAGGGCAGTGCCATCGTCGGTGAGAGGCCAATTTAGTGACGCAGTCAAATTTTTGCAAGCAGGCCTTGCATTGAATATTGGTGCAGTGATTTGAAAAGTTCTTCATCTCTTTTGGCCCAAATTTCATCTTGCAAAAGTTACATTTTGTTTCTTTCAACTGCGCTTTGGCGCTTTCCTGCTGCAAGGGCCGATCCATTTCTTTGCCACTACGTTTTTCAGGAGATCGAAGATCGAGAGGGTCTGAAAGTAATTTTTTTTCATAAATGAAAATTTGCGTTAATCATTACTTTCTTATCAGTACCAAAAAGACTGAAAATGAGAAGAAAAATTAGTGAAACACTTACCATCACTAGAAATAAGGTCATTTTGGTCATTATTGCATTGAAATCCAACCGAGTCAGCAATAGAAATTTCCACTTGTTGTTCCTAAAAAAGATTTATAAATTGTAATTATTTTTTCATATTTTTTTAATTTGCAAAGCAACTGAAAATGCTAATTTTAAACTTGATTGCATTAAATATTTCTCACATTAAAATTATTTTAATTCAATTATAACAAAGAAATAATTAATAATAAAATAATTTTGATATTTAGATTGCGTGATTTTGTTTGTTATTCAAGAGAAAAATTAATTTTATTTCTGAGTGCATAAAAAGAAATCTAAAAAATAAAACCCCACTTGTTGCCTGACCTTTTTCAATCGCAACAGAAAGAAACATCACATTTAGTTAATCAGTTCCAAAAATTACATTTACTAACCTTAATTCAAACGCATAATTTGAAGTAATTAAATTCGTAACTAATTTAATTATTCATTATAATCGTTTAATTTTTTTACTCCATTTTGTAACAATAAATTAAAACAATTTTTATTTTTATTTATTTATCTCTTGGTAGATTAATTAATATTGAAAATGGTCTTAAGCTGAGCGGTTATTTATGTAAAATTAAAAATCCATGAAAATCATTCAAATATATTAATATTGAGCTTACACTTGACTGATTCATTTCATAGCCGGATGATGAGCCACTGCATGAAGTGTCCGTTGCCTTTGAAGATCACTCGGCTAGTGTTGCGCTCTGAATATATAATTTCTCTCTTCACTGATATTGCGGGCTGCGCTTATGAGGCGGGATTTGAGCGTGGAAACAGTAATTCCCCTAAGTTTTTTTCGCATGCTGTGCGAAAATGGAGCTGTCTTCCCCTTTGGTATTTTTAAGCTTATAACCGTCATGTCTGAACGGTTTGTCTATGTTGAGCTCCAACCACACTTTGCTTCTTATCTTAACCATCTCTTTAAATTCATTGGATTAAAATCAAAGGTATTAAATTTCATACATGGGCAGAGCGCACTTTGCGCTCTGCGATCTGCGCTCGCGCTCTGCGCTCATGAGCGCGAGCGCAGAGCGCGATCGCACGATTTTCAAAATCGTGAGCGCGAGCGCAGAGCGCGAGCGCATTGGTCGCTGAGCGCAGCGCTCAATTGCGCTCATTTTGCGCTCAATCCAAGAGTAAAAATTCCCGAATTTGATCAAAAATTGTAATGAAAAACAGTGTTTTTTTACCAAAAACTTAAAACTGATCCCAATTTTGGTGATTTAACTTCAACTTTATCATTTCCAATTGCCGATGTATTTTTTGTTATATTAAAAAATTGTCTAAATTCGAACCCAATAAACATTTCTTGAACCTAAAAAGTCGCACTTTTTCCTCAGACAAAAATATTTTTGAGCGCAACGCGTGAGCGCAAGACTTTTTAAAAATTTGAGCGCGAGCGCAGAGCGCGAGCGCAACATTTTCAAAATCTTGATCGCGAGCGCAGAGCGCGAGCGCACTGTTGCCAGTGATCGCGAGCGCGAGCGCGAGCGCAAAATTGTTGAGCGCACCCATGTATGTTAAATTTGTATACATAATTAAGGTTTTATCAGGATAAATTAACATGAAAAGGTATTTTAATATCATTTAATTATGTTTTTATTGGCCCAAAAGTATTTATGAAAATAATATAATATTAAAAATATTTATTTTATCAAGTAGTCTTAAAATTCTGATAAGAATAATGTAATATAACTCTTCAACAATTATTTCTTCTTCAGCAAACAATTAAATTTATATAAGAGGCAAATTAAAATTATATTAAGCCTCAATATTAATATTAAATTTTTATAACACTATAAATTTTCTACAGCATAAAAAATAATACATTTTTCCAAACCTTATTGTAATTTGCACCGTGATATTTGATTTTATAGTTTCAATTATATTTAAAATTAAATTTTTAATTGAATAATTTTGATTTTGCTTGTCGTGCAAGGAATTAATAAATCAATTGCGTTTCACTGAAAAACCATAAAAATTTGCTGGCTCTTCTCGTTCGAACTGACACAGGTCCAAGTGTTGGGCCAAAAGGTTGTTGCACGGTTGGGCAAATCCACATCGGGGACAGTCGGTCTGTCGCGTGTGACACTCGAAATTTTCCACCGAGTTGCACAAAATTTGGCAAAAATGGCACTTTGTCAGAAGTTCTCCGTGAAATTCTTTCAAATTCAAAGATCTAATGTGAACAATTTTAATTTCCTCATCTTCGGCAGGTTCATTTTTTGGAACTTCCATTAAATCGTCGCTTGTTTCCGAGCACTCGTGTTGGCTGAAAAGGTTGAAACACTGGCTGACGTGGGAGCAATTCGGACAGCGTCTCTCTCTTTTGTGCTTTCCGTGTTGGTTTTTATTCTTTGTAGTTTGGCCGCAAAATGCGCAACTGAAAAAGCACTCGGCCTGGTGTTTGATGCGCAAACCGCTGCATTTGAAAGTTTTACTGCAAATTAAGCACGACCTGTTCTTTACTTCAAAATGCAATCTTTCGCTTTTGTAATTTTTCTTGCAGTGAGTACAAGAATTTTGTTCCTTCGGGATGCTGCTCAGCGTTTTCTTCTTTTCTCCACCCTCGCAATTCGAGCCAGATTTGTGCGCAGTGGCAAGTCCGCAACAGGCAAAGGTTAAATTGCATTTCTTACACTTTCTCTCCGTTTTGTGCTTCTCTTGCAAATATTTGCGCCTGCAGATTAAATGTCGCGAGCACAAATCACACCACAGTTTTTTGTTTTGATATTTACGTCGTGGTCTGTTTTCATCAAAATCAGGGCAGTGCCATCGCCGGTGAGTGGTCATTTTCATGGCGCATTCAAATTCTTCCGAACAGGCCATGCACTGAGTTTTGGTGCAGTGATTCAAAAAGCTCTCCGTCGCCGATGGTCTAAATTTCATGTTGCAAAATTTACATTTTAATTCTTTGGAACCCTCTTTTGCGCAACGCTGCCTTAAGAAGTACGATGAATCCATTTCTTTAGCGTGAGAATCGTTCAGTCGCGAAGAACTTTCCGGAGAGTGTAAATCAAGAGGGTCTGCAAAATAATAGTTTTCATTTTCGTTAATTAAATGAGAAGAAAAATGAATGAAACTCAGACCATTGCTCAATTCTAGGTTGCATTGAAAACCAATCCAGTCAGCAATAGAAAACTCCACTTCTTGATCCTACAAGTGAGTTTATTATAAATTTTAATTATATTGCTAATTTATTTTAACCTATTAAAATATGCTAATTTTTAACCTGCGTTAGATTGAATGTATTTTGCAAAATACTAAAATTCAAATTTATCGCAACAAAAATCACATTTGGATTACGCAATTTTGCTTAATTGTTTTTAAAGAGTCTTTAAATTCATTCAAAAGAAAATTACTAAAAATAAAAATAAATAAAAAAAACCTTCTATTAAATTGCAATTAATACAGATTGAGACATTTGAAACTATTTTAATTATTTTCATTGAGGAAAATCATCAATAATTGTCGCTTAATTAATTAACCTTTTGTTGGAACTTAAATGAAAATTTTCCTAATCCTAGGAATTAAAAAAATTATATAAAACGAAAATTCACAGTAAAAATGCGCTTACATTTAGCAGATTCATTCAACAGGCGGGCGATGGAGGAGTCAAATGATGATCGTCGCCTCTGAAGATCACTCGGCAAGTGTGGATTGTATAATTTCTCTCTTTGCTGATATTGCGGGCTGCACTTGTGAGGCGGGATCTGAGCGTGGAAACGCCAGTTTTTTTCTTGCACGCTGTGCGAAAATGGAGCCGTCTTCCCCTTTGATATAAAGTGAAGAGACTTAAAGAGTGATCTTGTTTGTGCTCAGCTCCAACCACATTTTGCGTTTCCCATACATCTTAATCCTTTCTTTAAATTTAAATAAAGCGCTGGGTTTAAAAAATTTCAGTTTAAATTCTTTGACCTTATATTAATGATTTTAAATTTCATTGTCAAGACAAAATTCTGTGATTTTATGATTTTTTTTAATTTTCTGCAAACTGGTAAAAAAATTTATATTTCAATTTTGGAAACATTCATATAGGAGTTGATTTATTTAAACCAGGTTTATTTTCATATTCATTATTACATTTATTACTTACATTAAAATTAATATCAAATCAATGCACTTTTTCACAATAAGTTTTACATTTTTTTCATAAATTAAAATTAACAAAATCTGCAAAATTTCATTCTCACACGACGTATACATAATTACTTTGCTGTTGCTAAATGCAATTGTGACTCAATAAATTAAACTAAAAACTTCACTATCAAAAGTTTACTCCATTTTTTTGACCAAGTCTTGCAACAGGAGTTCGGCCACGGCCTTTTTCAGTTCGAACTCACTCATGCCGATGGCGATCAACTCGATCAACTGCTGGACGAACTTCTTGGGTTTGAGCACCGGACTGCTGGCGACGATGCCCCCTTTTTCCACCACCATCTCGATGTCGTTCTCCAGCATCGCCAGGACCGAGTCCCTTTTGCTGCTCGTCTGCTCGATCGCCACCTCCACTTTGCACACAGTTTCCATTTCGTGCAGGATTTCTTCTTTTTCCACCTTGATGCAGGGTGGAATTATTTGTTCTTCGTTGTCTTCGACGAGGACGGCCTGCTCGGACCGAATCGCGTCCATGATCTCGTTCTGCGCCTCGGCCGACGTCTGCGGATGCTTCTTCATGTGTCTCTTCAGCCGCGTTTCGCACTTCAACCTTCGGCCGCAGAGGACGCAGTCGCGCTTCAGGTGGGCCTGCAGGTCGGCGTCCTTCAGGAACAACTTTTGACAAGAGTGGCACCGAAAATGCGCACCTTCTTTGTGTTTCCGAAGCGACGCCGGACACCTGAAGGTCTCCGGACACACCGAACAGGGCTGGACCCTTTGAAGGTGGCGTTCCTCCCCGCACTGATCACAGAAATTTAAAGTTTTTTTCACAACCTTTCGTCCAGATTTTCTCGAATGGGACCTTTTGACGTGCCGCGCCAATTGCGTGGCGCATCGGTACCTTCGGCGGCAGGTGTTGCAGTTGGTCAGGAACTGGTGCCGCAGAAGTTGTCGGGTCGTTTTGATGTAAAAGGCGCAGTGCCTGCAGTGCATGCTGCACGCTTTCCCTTTCGATTTATTCAATTGGCGCGGCGCGGTGCAGGTTTTCAGCGGCGCCTTTCGGTGGTTGTAGTTTTTCAGGTGGATTTTCAGCTCGGTGCGGCAGCCGAATTTACGCTTGCAGGTGCCGCACCGATTGTCAGCCATGTGGGAGATGAACTCTTTGAGATGTGGGCCATTGAATTGCATCTCGCAGTGCTGGCATGTTTTTAGATGTGCAGCGCTTCCCACGCTCGGCGAAGTAGGGGAGGGTGGAATTTTGTCACTGTTCATCTTTGCAGTGCAGTTTCTGAAACACAATTAAATAAAGTTTGATATATTTTATTTAAATTTGATGCAAGAAGAAATTTTAAAATCTTTCATTTGATTATGAAAAAAAAACTCAAGTTCAGTTAAATTTTGAACTTTTTATTCTTTTTAAATTCAAATTTAGGCTGAATTTGAAACTTATTAATTTTTTTTTATTTAGAATGATGAATTACTGTGGATTGAAATTATCAAATGAGCCTTCTTTGCTGAATTCAATTGCGACCTGATTCTGTAAACTGTTTTTTATGCTGCAATTTTATCAAGATAAACTGCTCGGCTTTCAAATTTCAAAGAATTAATACATTAGTCATTTATCAAAATTCAAAAAGAATCTTAAATGTTGATTAAACTGGAAAAAATCTCTTTAAAAAAAAAAACCGCCTACCTACTTTTACGCTATCGAGAAACGGGAGCCGCGGAGTGGCGTCCGTGCAACTAGGTAGGCGCCCGATCTCTTACTGACACACTGTTGAGTGTTGACTGTCGGCTCGCTCGGCAGAAGAGAGGCGCGAGTTTTATGCCAATAGTATTGAACGGTAAACAACAACGTGCGCTCTGATGCACCACGCAAGCGCATCGCGGACCATGACCCTTGTCACGCATGTTATCTCATAACAACGAGATATTGTGCACTTTTACTCTCACAGAATGCGCACAGATGTGAGAAAAAAAGTAATATCGGCGCTTGTCGCGATCTTAAAAGATTCAATTCACTGCTCCTCTTAGGGAGGGGAAAAAAGAGATCAAATGAACTCTATGGCACTTCAAGTTATTTTGATAAATGGTAACAATAAGGCAGAGCAAATTTTTACAATACGTTGAAATGGAAAAAGTCAATTAAATCAATTTTTTTTTATAAAATATGCTAAATTTAATTTATATCAATCTCAAATTCAATTAAATTTAATCTAATAAGTGTAATTTTAATTCATATTTAATTAGGCTGCAAGAATGATTTAATTTTTGAAATAAATAAACTAAATAATTAAATTTACAAACGGAATCAAATGTTATTGTTGTTTATTTGTCCACATTGTTACAAATATATTGTTACAATGTGGACAAATAAACAACAATAATATTTGATTCCGTTTGTAAATTTAATTATTTAAATAAGCCCATTTTGACACACTATATGGACTCCGGTTTAAATTAATATCAAAAAATAAATTAATAATTACAGACTGGAAAGGAGAAAAAAATAATTCATTATTCAAAGTTTCATTTTTTTTTTTTTTTAAAGAGGAACAATTTCAAAAGTTTTGGCCAATATAATTCCAAAAGTACGGCAATCGCCAAACTTATTAATTTCTCTGCATTGCAAATAAGGATTTTTCTTGCTGGTCATTTAGATGGAAATTAATTCACGCATTCGACAACGAGAGAAGGAAAAATAAGTAGGTCAGTGCTTGACGAATGCGAGAAATGACAAGGGTGCGTGACTGATTGTTATATATATGTACAAAGAGACATAGACGTGCTTTTGTACAAGTGCCGTCGCCCAAAGGATTAGAGCGCGGTATGCGCCATGAGGAAAAAGCACCGCGAAAATAAGTGAGCGACCGAACACAGTAGCGATTTATCAAATTTTAGGCGACAGCTTCCTAATTATACATGCATAACTTGCTTGAAGCTTTTTGGTTTTTTGGTCTAGGCTGACCTTGGGAAGTATCCATTGGTTCCATTAAACATGGAATTTAAGCAAAAAGATCAATTTTTTTCTTATTAAAAAAAGAATTTTAAGGTTATTTAAAATTCAAACATTAAAAAGTATGATTAAAAGAGATTTTCATAAAACTTAATTAATGAAATTGAAATATTAGTGAAAATATTAGCCTATACTTCACTTTTACTTAATTTGAAGTTTTAATTCACATCAAATAAAAAATTATGATTGTTTTTATAGTATAGTTTGATTGCTGTACTTATTTTGAATTAAATTCATTCCAGAATCTGAAATTTATATCTTTAATATATTTGTAATTATTTAAATTTTAATTAAATGGTCCTATTGATCCTTTTCTTTCTTGGTAGCTCATTCCAGTTTTTTATACTTTTCAAATAAATGAAATTAATTAAAAAAAAAAAATTTTCAGAGTCGATCAGAGGATTTGTCCTCATATTTTATAAGATCTGCGTTTTTCCTATCGATTTATTTAAATCTATATGTTCATTATGAATTATTTTTTAAATTTTGCATAATTTCACCTTTTTATTGCAGATCGCAAGCAGTTCCTCGCACCAAGTCAACCAAGCGCCAACTCCCGTCCGTGCCAGCGGAGTGCCGGAATAGGGCCGAAAAGAACAAGGCCGAAAACGGCTGAGCGGAACAAGGCCGAAAAGGAATAGGGCCGAAAAGGAAAAAGGCCGAAATACCGGTGCAAACTAAATAGGAAGAACCGGTTTCTTTAGGAAAGCATCTATTACCGTGCTATATGTCAACCCGTCATCCCTACAAGAAACGGGACGTTTCAGAAAACACCAGGACACACAATTTTCTTTATCATCGTCGTATTTATAAGTCAAACTGTGAGATATATCTCAAATAATTCATGTGTGGCTGGAAAGAATATTTTTATTTTCCGATTTCATCTGTGGCGGAAACAATAAGTCAAATAACTAGTGAACCGAAACTGACCAGCAGATTTGCAAACTCAATTATGGAGAGGCTTTTGCAAAAAAAGAGAACCCAATTAATTAAACTGAATATTTGAAATTTTACATTGTTTCTTATGGGAATTTATCGAAATAATTTTTTTCTCAAAATTGGCCAGACCAAACTTGATTAAAAATTCACCAAATCACGATCATATGATTCCAATTATGATGGAAAATTTAAAATTAAATCAATAAGTCAAAAGACATCAAAAATGTATTTATCATGATTGAGAAGTTTCATTTTCAGTGTACATATCATAGCTCCTAGTCAATAGGGAACATTTTAATCAAAAAGAAGAAGAAAACGACACATAGCAAGTAATATAAGTTTTCTGGACAAATAATTTCTTAAATGTTTGTGGTTTCAGAATTCCAATGCAATATGGTATTTTTATTGAGTCCAAGAGATCAATTTATCTTGTGATGTTTTCCCCCCCCCCCAAATTTCTGTGATTTTCTGGTATATGTCTCGCCTAAAATGAAGAATATTTTGCTGGGGTCTTCTACGAAAAAAATTTCAATTTTCGTCAATTTTCCAATGTGAAACGGCCGCATGATGGATTTCAGTATCGGCGCGGAAAGGATACTCAGTTTAAATGTTTTCTGAGCTGAACGCGCTCACGATTATCGGTTATTTTTCAGCTTTCGGCCTTGTTCCTTTTCGGCCCTATTCCTTTTCGGCCTTGTTCCGCTCAGCCGTTTTCGGCCTTGTTCTTTTCGGCCCTATTGCGGGACTCCGTGCCAGCCAGCCCGGCTCCTTTTATATTCGCAGCCCGATGCAGTGGAGGGGATTCATAGGTATGTGGAAATCAAATTTCATTCAATATATTAGGCAACAAAAAAAGGCGTTTTCAAGGATTTCGTTCAAGGCGAAAGTGAAAGTGCGGAAAATCGGTCGTTTTGAACTTCCGCATTCAATGAGCAGACGATTTAAATTCGATGATTTTTTCCGATTAATCAAAGCGTGCTGCTCTAATCCGTTCGGGATCGCTGCGCGTGCGGACCGGGTTTTTGTTGCTCTCGCCGATGATTAATTTGGCCTGTAGTAAATTTTATTTCCGACGGCGCACAATGATTATTGTATAATTTTGCGCGTTTTTTGAACCATATAATTTGCGGATAACAAATCGCGTGATAAAATTATGGAGATGCGAGTTGGTGGAAAGATAACTTTTCTGATGTTGGAAAAATAGCCAATGCGTTGAAGTGCGAGACATCATAGCGAGAATAATTTATTTATTTGTTGGTGTATTTTGATATTGCGTCGGCTCGAGGCAAATAAACCGGCAATAGGCTTTGGTGAAATTCCCCTTTTACTTTTATGGCTAGCTCGGTTTACGATTACGTTAAGATAATTAACGTATTGCTTTGGCAACTTTGAAATTTCACCTGGTGGATATGGATACGCGCGAGTTGGCAGAAGGAGGAACTGCTCATATGCTTTGTTTGGTATGCGCGATGTCCTTGTTTATTGAAAGGTTTTGTGTCTGAAACTGAATGCAAGTAAGCTGAAATCATATTAAAGATGGAGTTTGATAAGAATTTAACTAATATTAAATCCGACTAGATCATTAATGATATTCATGAACTGTTTTGTTTCCTTTTTATAGTTATTTCGAGCATGCAGGAAAAATAAGTAAATTCATATATTCGGTCCAATTATTAATTGCATTATTCAAGTTATCTCTACAGTAACAATGCAAATGTAAAATAGTAAATTTCCAAAACTTACACAAACGTGAATGCACGTTATTCTGCTCACTAAATTTCCCTAAAAATTCTAAGCCCTAAATAATTACATATTATACTTCTTTTTAGTAATCAGTGACCGAAAATAAACTTAAAAACTCGTTCAATATCTCTTTATTTTATTGGTAGCGTGAGAAATCAATTGAATTGACTGAAAAATTACTAATAATTAAAAAGGATTGTGGATAAGCCAGTTAATAAAGGAATAAAATTCAGATCAAGTGTTGAACTAATTAACTTTGGTTTTTTAAATAAATAAAACAAAAAATAAACTATATAGTTAAATAATACAAAAATTAAAATACACATTTCAAATTAAACTTAAACTCGATCGGCGGTGAAATAGCAAAATTACCAGCGGCAATACACGGATTAAAAAATTAACAATTACATCTGCCGGATAAAGTGAGAACGAAAGTAAAAAAGCCTCTGCGTGGCTCGCGTTATCAATTTATATAGAAAAATCTCTGCGTTGATAACACGACATATTTACTGATATTTACAAGAGAGTTCCAGAAATAAAAGTCACTATAAGGAAATATACAATATTATTCACACTGTTTGTCCGCTGAG